GTGATGCGAAACACTACATGATGTTGTTGTCAGAAAGTTTTTCGCAAATGTCCTGCATTTTTCTGTTTGCTTTTATTTTAGTTTCGGGATTTTGTTAATGAATGTTCACACAACTACCTCATTCATCTTACAAATGAAGGTCATCAATGAAATTAATTGATGTTATATATATTTGTATATAGAGTTATTATTTTTATTTTCATATAGATACAACAACTTCTACGGTGGAACAAAACCCAGAAATCCAAGATGCTTATGAATTTTCAAACAACGACGAGGATTCGGATGAAAAAAGATGATATGTGATACCAGTTTCAGGACATCTAAATGTAAAAGGGAAGTTTCCTATCATGCCAAAACGCTGGTGTTCTCCCGCAATTCTCTCGTCGAGTAAGTAAACTAGGGACAATATTTCTTTTCGGCGAACAAGGAACCTTTGAAACAGACCAAGGAAACAAATGAGTAGAATAGAAGCTCTAATACACAACCAGTAGAAGATTAGAGTGCGACGTTTCGGTGACTACACGGTCACTTCATCAGACAAATGAAGTTATAATAGTAAAAGTTGAATATGTAAACGTATACCATCTTGACTGAAGAACTTTTTGTAAAGATACGCCAGTCGGTGATTATCTCAGTTCATCCAGAGGATTACTTATTACAACAATTCGTCCTCTTTGACAATTAAAGATGTCGACAAGATTAATAAGTCCAGCTGGAGAAACAAGTACCTTAACATGCAACATGGAATATCATTCTTCAAGCATATTACAACGCATTGCAATTGTCTATTATTAGAATGCTTTATTTTTTTCAGCTATGTAAACATATTTTATGATGATTTCAGTACACAAAACAACAATAAATGTACACAAATCCAAAGTGTAGATCATAAGTAACATCATTTAAACGAAAAGCACCTCTTACAGAAAAAAACACTAACAATTAGTCACCAATCTACTGATTAATTATAATTACAAATTAAAGCCATATCAATTTCTCTAAATCAAAGGTGCGGTGCCAATTGTCAATCATAAGATGTCAACATGTTGGCATATATAACTACAATGTTATGTTGTGAGATATATTAGTACTATGGTTCTGACACGATGTGTTCCCTTAAACAGAGATTGGGAAATGACATAGGGTTTTTTTTCTGAAAACAATAATTTTATGCCGAGAAAAGAATATTGCTTGCAGACATATCCCGAAGAGAATGTAAATACAGATAATATATGTAAAATAATTCATTAATTAGTTTGTTAAAAGAAGTATAATGATTGTAGCTACAGGATTACGAAATTTCGAACAAGGGATGGTTACTGTTAGGGATGCTTTTTAGATAGATCTTTTGTTGTAATTTTAACACAAATGCGATGCAATAGAAGTGAATATTTCGCGGAAGTCATAAAATGGACTAACAATTTCTTTATCAATTACCTTTCGTTATATCTTTCCCAGTTTTATCTCAGAAATTGTGAAAAAAGAACATTTGATGTACAAATAAAAGTCCTCTCGTCAACTTACAGACTTATACAATATTCTGAAGGTAGAATATTGGTTTACATATATCATGAATGATAAATCCTGTGTGCGTATTTTTGTAGTGTATGCATTATATGTATTTTATTGCATAAATGGTTGACTCGTAATCCAATATATTCAGGTGAAAACGTCTTCTAATTATTTATTCATGTGACAATTTGCTTCCTGTGGAACATCCACTCTCATATAAAACATTGTGAACATCGTGTAAAGTAGTAAAAACACATGTTTTCTAATCTGTAATTACGAAAATAACTAAGGGAGTGCGAGAAAAGGATTATTAGTGTTGTTAGGAATGTTGTTGAATAATCACGAGGTCATAGATTTGGTTGATATCAGGACAGCTATGTTCACTTGCAAGTCTGGTTGCCTTTTGCCAAACATGGTTTTCGTTTTCAGCAAGAAAAAAACACTAATAATCAAATCTTTAAAACGTCAAAGGATATTGAAAAGATGCAATTAAAAAGAAACATAAATGTACATGACTTTTCAATATAAATTTAGATTTTGCTACAACATAGTCAAATCATGGATTTTTCGAGGACTCGTCAGTAGGGGGCTAAAGAGTCGAAATCCAGGGCGACTCTGGGAATGATGAAATAAAGGGGAATGCGCTAACCGCATAACTTTAATATCGTCGTAATTTGCAATACTGACTGGTTTTAAAATGCACGCCATGTTTTTTTTATAGTCTTACATACGTTTATTCAAACCGATAAGTAAAAATGTGACCGATTTTTGTGACCTTTTTATTCACATAATGTCTTGAAATTACTGTAAATTGACATTTTGAAATATAACGCCCTGCAGCCTGAAAAATAATGTAAGATATTTACACGTGTATTTAAATCTAATATGGTTTTATTTTCATATAATTTCATAATCTCATTTTATTGCATTTTGTAAAATATAATTTGTATCCATGATTTTGAGAAAATAAAAACATGATAATGTAGAGGGTGAGGAGCATCTGTCACAATGTTTGATATATTACAAAATTTGTTATGTATGGAAATATTCAAAATGGTTTACTGTGTGATGAAGATGACTATAAATATAGAATATATCAAAAGAACAAAATTTTAAATAACTTCCACATGAAAACTTTTCGAACATTCGATTTAAATGATTGCAATCGAAAATAATGTGTATAATTAAATGTACAGACAAACCGACATAGATTTTATAAATGGATATTCGATTTAAAAGACATGGTAATATCTCGTATGCCACTGCTTGGGACGGGGCGTAATAACTTCACATGTGTAAAGATTCGAGGTGAGTGGTTCGACGCTCCCTATCATCGGCGTTCTGTGTTTGTGTCCTTGGTCAAGCCATTTTACCCTTTTCGGATTGGAAAGTATGTGATGGGCATCCCGTATGTTATTCAGTAAGGTACCTACCAGCTACTAAAAAAGAAACCCCGAAATTGCCGTGACTGTTCAACAGGCGATAATCCTATCAAACATATCACTGTTTGAGGAACAAACTCTTAGTGTTTGTCGCCCCACCTCCCTTAAAAGAAATTATGAATACATAATAATAGATTTGTGACGAAACATGAAATTTATTGTTATTGCATAGATGACAATTCACATTTAACGAGATTACAATAAAATAATACAAATGTACATTAAAATATCATTAGTTCTTGGCACCATCATCTAACACTTAGTAAATATAAATATATATCTTCTGTTATCACATAACTGGTCCGGTTTATCCTATAATACGTCGGGTCATGTCTAAAATATTGTTTGAAACGTGAACAATAAAATGATTTTGACGTTATCAATAAATTACGTTATGTGATTGGCTCAGTAATGTTAAGTGTACCGTGTGGGTTGAATTCGTTCGTTTTATATTGTACAAAAGGCACACAAGTGAATAACACCTTATATATATATATAATTTAGAACTACATGTAGTAGAGTCAATCAATCAATTTAACTGCATCAGCTGTTTCGTTCTTCTAGGACTCGTTAGCAAAGCTAAGGATCTTAATTAAATTTTGCCTATAAGGTGACCGAGGTAAATCCAAAGTGATCGACAGAAATGTCAGAATCTAGAAGGGGAGTTGAACTCGTCCCATAATCCAATAAATTTCTTAATTCACATATATCTGATGGTTTTAGGACATCGCTATGTAAACATGTATGTTCTGGACCGTACAACAATGGGAATTTCATACATGGCTTTTCATTGTTTTCTCAATTACAATGTATTTGACTAATGACATTATTGGAGGTGTGTTAACCGTAACATACATTAATGTCTATTTAAGATGTTATATTTCCAATAGATTAATTGAACAAGATGGGCTAATTTTATGCATGTGTCTTTTGAAAAATTACCTCACACTATCAGTGATATGAAATTACAAATGAAGTAAAAAAAAGGATTGTACCAAGTACGGTAAAAGCACCTTATAATGAAAAATGCAGAATTCTCCAATGTAAATTAATAGCTGGACAGAGTCTTAAATGAAAATTCAGAATTACACAGATACACAGAATCTTACAATGAATATCTAGAATAAGACAATCTTGTAATGAAAATTCAGAATTAAACCGAGTATGTTCAAAAGATTAATCAAACTTCGGCACTCAGTTTGTTCGTCCTTAGATGACTAGTATTTGATGATAAGTGGTTCAACTTAGGAGGTGGCTAGAAAAAAATATTGAAAAATAAATTGAGAGGTGCACTAAAGTTCACGAAATCGCAACATACTTAAAAAACACGTGAACAATCAAATATACATTCGGAAAATTATACAAATTACAAGACGAATTGAAAAGATCGATAAAGAAAACTTAATGTTAATTATCGAATTTTGAGGGAGATCGTTCATGCACAAATAAGTGATCAAGTACGGAATTAACAATTAAATAACTTCTTAACAATATAAGGCACACATATTCCTTAGTATCAATATTATATTTCATACAATGTAATATATTCTATGTATTAGAATACATTCCATTTCCAAGTGAAAACATTAGGGGCATATTGAAAACAATACATTACTACTACAGTATATTTGAATATAGACAAATTTACATTCCCATGTCGGCAAGATATTGAGAGACATTTACGCATAATATTCGTTATAACATGTACCCATTTCCAAGCAAAATAGGAAAATTAGACAGCTAAGCAAAATATCCTACAAACATATATTCTATTTTTAGTTTAAGACAAATGTATAGATCGCTGCAATCCTTCCTCGTCTACAAAAGTCGCTTTTTCTTTTATTGATGGTTCTTTCACGTAAATTCATTTATTCCTAATGATAAAAAGTATATGCCTACTAATAATTTCAATAGCAACCCATTACGACTGTCATGATCTGCCGATTACTAATATTTTATACAGTATACAGATAGATAGATATGGTATATCCACTCCCCCCGCCCTTTAAGAAATATTATTGAGGCGCTTTTGCATACGTTTAAGTGTCTTATTCGTCCAGACAGAGTAGATATGAAGGTAGAATCTTCTTGTTTTATCCTACAATATGTCTTTTTGTTTTAATAACAAGCCGTCTGTCTCTCTCACACATCCTGTGCTATGACGTCCGCTGACATAGCCTCCCGCAATGTGTCCAATCGGGTCCTATTGAACTTATTGTCGTAAAACGGTATCCAAAACAAAACCTGAATAACAATATTAAAATTCCAGTAATTTTAATGCAGCACGATTTAAATTTTTTTCTTACGTAAATGTAACATCGATCAAACTCCATTGGCGCCACGGCATATATTAATTGCATATCGTATGTGCATCTGACCTATAATATCAATATGAATATTCATGACTTTTTATTACAGCTCTATAGTACTTTTTTTACGTTTTTGTTGTCACGTGCTTACCTTTGATCTGTTGATATTGTTATCAAATTTTTATCATAATGCATTTAATGTGTCCAAAATTTGAATAAAGCTCAACATCTACATTCGAAATCATTTACATATGCCACATATTCAAACTTATCAAATATAAACCATTACACATTTATTGATGGCAAGATACATGGAAAATGGAAGGAATTATAAAATGATGAAATGGTAAATTGTGATTGGTCTAACTTATCATATAGCTTTAAATATAAAGGGATATAGACAGTTTATCAAAACACTGCCTACATGTGTAACAGTGACAGTTATACTCTGTATGCGTAACATATCCGACACACTTCTAACGATCTGGTAGTGACAGGTAATGTATAAAAGCCTCTACCATGACATATCGGTATATGTCTATCATCATTACGTTCCTTAAAGTCATCAAGAAGTGTTTGTCTTTTATGTGAAAATGTTTTGCTTGTAGTCGATATAAAAAATAATACGATAAGGAAGCTCTGTTACGGTTTATGCATTTCTTAAAGCCGCATTAATGGGTTTGTACCTACAATATGTAAAAGTTGAACTGAAAACCTGACATTGGCCTTTTTATTTTTCATCAGTTATCCATCGTGTTAGCGGATAATGTAAACCAGGAAAGGGGTGTTACACATATATGATATGGTACCAAGTTATGCCAATGGTTTTCATGTAGGTGACCTTGTGAATCACTGTAAATTTTCATCTAATTCATGTTCATAAGTTTGATCAGTTTGATTTTAATAGTTTTCATTATAAATTCCACTATTTATAATTTTTTCTAGTTTCAACTGGAAGAAAAATATAATATCTTTGTACGAATTAAGATAAATCTGATAATTCTTCCTACACATGAATCATGCATATGGTGTATATACTGAAAACATTAATGAATGATCTGGAAAAATACAACTCCAAAGAATAGCAGCGGATACTTGCATAAACAAAGATCATCCAATAAATTTTGTAGTTTTAAGTATCACTTTTAAACCACTGGCCATCAAAAAATGAAAATGAATATTGACAAAAATAACGTAACATTAAGTATAAGACAATGCTTATAAGTTAAAAGTCATAACAATAGATCAGTATATATATATTTTTTTGCATTGTGATTTTATACTTCCATTTGTAATGGTTATAAAGATATAACTTGCTTACTTACACAATTCAAAATGACAGCAAGTGGAATAGACAATGGTAAAAATCCGCTGGAAAAGGAACGTGCCTGTAAATTGAATGAGATGATTAACTTAACAAAATATGTTTTATCAGAGATTTGATTAATCACCAAAGCTTACACATCAGCCCAACGTTATAACGATCAAAATGGCTGATTAAGAAATATTCGATTCAGGACAACATGAAGATTGACAAAAAGGACAAAAAATAGATTTATTTCTGTAAGAAATAGAAACTTAATATAACAAAAAAAGAACAAAAAGAGGAAAAAATTACAGTAAACTCATCAATTTTGTGACAGTTATAATGTTTCATTTTCATTCACTTTTTTAATACTCTGACTTCGTACTGTAATTTGGTACTCTAAATTCAGAAGTTCGGGAGTCCAAAGAATAATAATTCTATCTTATATCAACGATTAATGACATCATCGACCAACGAAATACCTTTTTCCGGGAACACCACAATTTGAATCTATAGTCATTTTTGCAATTATCGAATTCGTTGAGAAGGAAAGACGAGGCCATGATTTCATTGTTAAACAAAAATGTAGAAGCTTACAACACCAAATGCCAAGATCCAATACAAGCTGTAGTTACTGACAGTCATTAAAGAGGGAAATCTCACAAGACATAAACGGATACCAAACGTAGACAAACGTTCTCGACAGGTTCAAATTAAGACATTAACAGCTTGACTTCCTGTATATATTCCCTGCCTGGACGACATCTCCAGACATGTACAAATTATCATGCTCCTGATTCAGTTAATTAGGTGGTCGGGTGGTGCAGTGGTAATGCAATCGCCTTTCACCTAGCCTTCCGGTTTCCTCCAACATTAAGACCTTTCTCGCGCTTCCATCCGAGCCAACAAGAGTGATTAATATAAGTTTGAAAAACTTGCTTCGCAATATTAAAGTTCATTATTATTATTATTCAGTTAATTAGGGAAAAGCTGTTTGATAGGGGTGTTTCGTTTATAATGCTTTCTAAAGAAAAGTCAAAACCTGAGCTCAAGCATTGTGTGAGTAAAGGAACATTCGTTAAAGTGAGGTCACGAGTATTTCGAACGAATGGACAGTAACTGCAACACCATGTAGGGTGAGCAGAAATATGGTGCTAATATTTTGTCCAACATTTTCGGCTTGAAGTAAACAAATCTGGACCCAGTGATGGACATATCGTCTCATAGACACCAATCTAGATTTCAAAATGAAACTATGCAGGAATTGTTTACGGTTATCTTCGCGAAACGATTGCGAGATGCGCTGTGTTTAGAATGGACAACTTTACATACAGCTGTTTGTAGTAATCCTGAAAAGACACATCGTGACTGAATGGACTACTTTACATACAGCTGTTTGTAGTAATCCTGAAAAGACACATCGTGACTGAATGGACTACTTTACATACAGCTGTTTGTAGTAATCCTGAAAAGACACATCGTGACTGAATGGACTACTTTACATACAGTTGGTTGCAGTAATCCTGAAAAGACAAATCGCGTATGAATGGACAACTTTACAGATAGCTGTTTGCAGTAATCCTGAAAAGATACATCGTGACTGAATGGACAACTTTACATACAGCTGGTTGTAGTAATCCTGTGAAGAATTATCGTGCTTATTCAAACGATCTGATCTTTGGGCAATTGATGGAAGCGTTTGGTCGCAAAATTTCCCAACAAATCAAGCGTGGAGTATTTTTTCACATGTCAATTATGGGAGAGATTTAAAGGAGCTTAAGCAACCAGCATCATACATTTTTGTGAGTCAATTAAATGGGATGTCCAGTGGAAAACAGATACCGATTAAAGAATGTCATCGTACCAACAAAACTGATTCCTTGCTTATCATGATGTAAAAGCTGTTTTGTGAAGGGGTGGAATCATTTTACCGAGCTCAATAGTAACACCGTGGAAAATCAAGAAAGAAAACACCAATATGCCAACAGGATCATAAGCAAAACTCAAATTCAATGAAACAAGGGCAAAATATGAAACTCCTGAAAAACCTTGTTATCAAACCATCAACAAAGCTTTTTTCGTCTATCGGTTTGGCCAGTTGGGCTAGAGTTGTCCCTTTATTTAAAAAGGGTGGACCTACTGATCCTGTTCTGTTTTCTTACGAACTGAACCGGGTTGTCTGCATAAATGAGCGAGACCCAGACTGACGTTACAGTCTATAGTAAAAAAAACATCAGTCATATAGGGAACAAGGTTATCAAGCGTCAGAATAAATAAATAAATCAAAGATAATGCGGGATAATACATACCTGTACTTTATTGCCTTTCAGAGTAAATTCCATCACGTCTAGCCAGTTTGCCCAGGTAAAAGCAAATATTCTGACAAAACCTCTCTCCTCCTCCACCTGGTAAAAATATACAATTTTAAAACGAATAACATATTTATTTATTTGTTTAATGTTACCAGCAATCAGTTTTGTGCTAAAAGGTCGAACTCTAATATATACAAACTAATGGGTTGTACTAACAAAGAGATATATAGTATACAAAGGAGTAAACCATTTCATCTATAAGTACTGTGGTTGATAGTTTGAATTGCTCCACAGCTGAGGGTCAACTGAATCCAGTACGTATCCATATATTAAAAATCATCTCGTGGTTTTGTTGGTCATTTACCGTCCTTGTGTTTATTTATGTTGACCTCCACGTGTCATCCTGATTAAGTAAACGTGTAAATTATATTTGTATCTCAGGTACTGACCGTTGACTTTGTTAATGTTATTACCCTATTAGTCGTTAGTGTTCAGTCTACTGCCTAGTATGTCCAGTCTTACTATAATTTGTTGGCCCATTACGTCACTCATGTCAAGTCTACTTAAACGCGTTGGCCTGAGCACGTCACTCTAATCCAGTCTTCTTAAGCGTGTTGGCCCAAGCACGTCACCCTGACCCAATCTACTTAAGCGTGTTGGCTCAGTGTGTCATTTTTATCCAGTCTACTAGAACTTGTTGGCCCAGTGTGTCGCCGCTCTTAGCTGTTGATCATGTACTGGTAACTGACCTTGTTGATCACGTAAGTCGACCTTGTACGGTCGCTTTTTGTCGTCAGATCCGGCACGGTGTTGATGATGTCTTCAAGCAATGCATCTGCTCCAACAGCGTCCGACCTCCAGCTGTACGAAAACAAAGGTAGTCTTGTTAAGGATGCCGTTTAATAAATCTTCTTCAGTTAGCGTTTTATATATTAAATTATATTCGTTCGGTATGGAAATTTTTCTTCATTAAGTTTTGGAAACCTATAGTCGCACAGTCTGATAGAGTAAATGGGTTTTAACAGGGGCCGTGCTTTCAAGTTCTTTACGGTTGACAATCGACCTTTTTTCATTAAGCAGTACGCTTTTTCAAGTACACTTAGGGCAATCGGCTCAGTGGCTAGAAGACATTGACACATCCTTAGTTCGGTGTGTATTATGCGTGTATTGCTGTAGTAAGCTTCATAGTTAGGCTCGGGACCAAAAGTTTGAGAGAAAAAACACAAACAACTCAAAACAAAAAATAGTTGAAGTAAGTATAAACGAAAAAAGTGACCTAAAAATTATGGATCATGCAAATATTCAGATTATCGCAATATTAAGGAAACGTGAATAAATGAAGTCATTGTCGAACTTGGTTTGTAGAGAAGGAGGAAGGGGAAAGAATGAGACCGGTAAGTCTCGTGGGGCCTGAATTTAGATGCTAATGAAGACTTAAACTGTTGAAGATTTTGAAAAACAATACCACTACTGAATCACAAAATAAAGGAGAGCTGTGTCTTCTGTAACTTTAATTTATTTTTGATAACTTTAGATTAGATTTAGATTTAAATAAACGTGAAACTCTCGTCCATATGAAATCTAGAGTACACGTAATCAACACAAGAATATTCCTTTACGACTAGAAATCAACTTTATATGCACGGGTTACAAAACATCATAGTTATAATTCTTAAAAACAACTACCTAGAATAGAAGTTCTTATAACACAACCAGTAGAAGATTAGATTGTGACGTCTTGGTGACTACAAGGACACCTTCATCTTATAACACAACCGGTAGAAGATTAGGGTGTGACGTCTTGGTGACTACAAGGACACCTTCATTTTATAACACAACCGGTAGAAGATTAGATTGTGACGTCTTGGTGAATACAAGGACACCTTCATCTTATAACACATTCGGTAGAAGATTAGAGCGTGACGTCTTGGTGACTACAAGGACACCTTCATCTTATAACACAACCGGTAGAAGATTAGAGCGTGACGTCTTGGTGACTACAAGGACACCTTCATTTTACAACACAACCGGTAGAAGATTAGATTGTGACGTCTTGGTGACTACAAGGACACCTTCATCTTATAACACATTCGGTAGAAGATTAGAGCGTGACGTCTTGGTGACTACAAGGACACCTTCATCTTATAACACAACCGGTAGAAGATTAGAGTGTGACGTCTTGGTGACTACAAGGACACCTTCATCTTATAACACAACCGGTAGAAGATTAGAGTGTGACGTCTTGGTGACTACAAGGACACCTTCATCTTATAACACAACCGGTAGAAGATTAGAGTGTGACGTCTTGGTGACTACAAGGACACCTTCATCTTATAACACATTCGGTAGAAGATTAGAGTGTGACGTCTTGGTGACTACAAGGACACCTTCATCTTATAACACAACCGGTAGAAGATTAGAGTGTGACGTCTTGGTGACTACAAGGACACCTTCATCTTATAACACAACCGGTAGAAGATTAGAGTGTGACGTCTTGGTGACTACAAGGACACCTTCATCTTATAACACAACCGGTAGAAGATTAGAGTGTGACGTCTTGGTGACTACAAGGACACCTTCATCTTATAACACAACCGGTAGAAGATTAGAGTGTGACGTCTTGGTGACTACAAGGACACCTTCATCTTATAACACAACCGGTAGAAGATTAGAGTGTGACGTCTTGGTGACTACAAGGACACCTTCATCTTATGTAGAAGATTAGAGTGTGACCTCTTGGTGACTACAAGGACACCTTCATCTTATAACACAACCGGTAGAAGATTAGAGTGTGACGTCTTGGTGACTACAAGGACACCTTCATCTTATAACACATTCGGTAGAAGATTAGAGTGTGACGTCTTGGTGACTACAAGGACACCTTCATCTTATGTAGAAGATTAGAGTGAGACGTCTTGGTGACTACAAGGACACCTTCATCTTATAACACAACCGGTAGAAGATTAGAGTGTGACGTCTTGGTGACTACAAGGACACCTTCATCTTATGTAGAAGATTAGAGTGTGACGTCTTGGTGACTACAAGGACACCTTCATCTTATAACACAACCGGTAGAAGATTAGAGTGTGACGTCTTGGTGACTACAAGGACACCTTCATCTTATAACACAACCGGTAGAAGATTAGAGTGTGACGTCTTGGTGACTACAAGGACACCTTCATCTTATAACACAACCGGTAGAAGATTAGATTGTGACGTCTTGGTGACTACAAGGACACCTTCATCTTATAACACAACCGGTAGAAGATTAGAGTGTGACGTCTTGGTGACTACAAGGACACCTTCATCTTATAACACAACCGGTAGAAGATTAGAGCGTGACGTCTTGGTGACTACAAGGACACCTTCATCTTATGTAGAAGATTAGAGCGTGACGTCTTGGTGACTACAAGGACACCTTCATCTTATGTAGAAGATTAGAGCGTGACGTCTTGGTGACTACAAGGACACCTTCATCTTATAACACAACCGGTAGAAGATTAGAGTGTGACGTCTTGGTGACTACAAGGACACCTTCATCTTATAACACAACCGGTAGAAGATTAGAGTGTGACGTCTTGGTGACTACAAGGACACCTTCATCTTATAACACAACCGGTAGAAGATTAGAGTGTGACGTCTTGGTGACTACAAGGACACCTTCATCTTATAACACAACCGGTAGAAGATTAGAGTGTGACGTCTTGGTGACTACAAGGACACCTTCATCTTATAACACAACCGGTAGAAGATTAGAGTGTGACGTCTTGGTGACTACAAGGACACCTTCATCTTATAACACAACCGGTAGAAGATTAGATTGTGACGTCTTGGTGACTACAAGGACACCTTCATCTTATGTAGAAGATTAGAGTGTGACCTCTTGGTGACTACAAGGACACCTTCATCTTATAACACAACCGGTAGAAGATAAGAGTGTAACGTTTCGGTGGCTACACGGTCACCTTCATTAGACAAATGACCTATGTGGAGCGTACTGACGTCTGTAGTGTGTACGAGATGGTAAACAGTTTTCTGTTGCACCATATAAGGTCGAAAACAGTGGGCCGAGATTATAGACCCAAACATATATACCAGATGTCCCCTCCTCCATTTTCAAAGTTAGTGTGATGATGTAGACTGTGCAGTCATCAAAATGTCACACTCTACTGGTTGTGATATAAGAACTTAAATTCTATTGACATTACCAACCTGAAGAAAATGTTCCAAAATAAAAACAACTACATGCGTATTTCTAACAGCGTGCCAGCGGCAATGACATCAGTATTTTCAGACGATGGACCAACATTGGGCCAACAATATTTTCTGCCTCTATGATCTACTACTAATGGTCTAAAGTTGGGCCTGCAGTGTAAGCATGGCGTCTGCCACAAATGGACCAAAATTGGGCCATCAGCATGATTTTCCTCCTAGTGGACAAAAGTTGGGGGAATTGACAAAAATGGTGCTGGGCCAATGTTGTATGCCTACTGAACAACTTTAGCCCATCGTCCACTGCAACGCCGCAAGGCCGTAATAGTGGACATTAAACCTGTTAAATAAATGAAATAAACAAATGAACAAATAAATAACTTTGGTGATGAGTTATCTGGGGACGGAATGTATTTATTATTGGGTTGTTTTCTAACATTATGTAGTTCCCATCTTTTACAGAGCAATGAGGTCTTCTGAGATCGATATGATTCTATGGAGGAATAATAACAGATTACTCACATTTCCGTATGGGAGTGTAATTTGTTACACCCAGGTATCCACATGGCCGGACGGAGTAAAGACTGGAGAGGGGCCTGGATAGCGCTAGTTATACACACCATCACTGACTTTACTGTATACCGTCGTAAACTTCAAACAGAAAACATATGGATTTTGTAACGAACTGTACAGTTGTATGTAAGTTTATATGATTTCGGCAAAGGTGATCTCTAAACGGGATTTTTTCACGACAGGACTCATACTAGTATCATGCAATGACAATGCTTGCTAAATGTTTTAAATACATAATACCCATTGTAGTATGAACAACTGATTGATTGTCTAAGGTGAAAAAACAGCAGCGAACAATAGTGCATGCGTCCATTTGGCGTATAATTCATAAATGTAGTACATTGTACGGTGCGTGTGGGCAGGAACCATGCATCTCTGGTAGGTGAGAACACATTTCTCAATATTGTTTGCCGTGGAAGGTGTAAAGGTATCATGGTGATAAATTCTACTTGACAATGGAGCTGAGGATGACAGTTACATGTATATAGCAGACAGATATACCACACAACCTCGGTTGTCATGTGCTGCACGATCTGTCAACCAATCAGACATATTTTTCACTAACACATTGTCTTTACTTTCCTTGGTGAAAATTAAAGTATCGCGACTGTTTTTTTTATTACAGGATTCGATGCTAAACAATAAATACGTTCCTTCTCAGATTGTAAGCGTTCGAATGACGCAGTGTACATGTACTGTGCTTGCCATTCACCAAGCATTCAAGGTTCGATTCCACAATTGGACGTAGAAGAAGTAGACGCTTGTCCGACCACGTGGATATGGTTGGTCTTGGACACCGGTTTCCTTTTCAATCTTACGATTTAACCAATATTTAGCATTCTAGCCAACCCCTTAAGGAGCACGTTCCTTCGGGTTAATATGAAAGAGTTGCGTAACCTGATATGCTAAAATACTGTTGGGGAAAAAGAGTGTATGCGCTATTTGTTGTATTCGGTATACTTATCTTGTTAAAACGTATCTCAAATCCATTCATAAAGCACGTATGATCTCTGACCAATCTCAGACCTTTCTAGTGTGACTGTTAAGGAAAGACAACCCTGGTAGATATTGATATCCGACTTGTTAGAACCACGAGAACTTCAATCACATTTATTTATTCAATTAATTAATTATTTATTTTCATTTAACTTTTAAGGAAAACTTGGTCATTAACTAAAAAAATAATATGAGACTATTGCAAATATGTGCTATTTATGAAGTAGTCATATGCGTCATCAGGATGATTGTGTTTAAAGCTATGTACATGTATGCTAATTGCATAAATTATATCGAAAGGTCATTGCTCGGTTGATTTTCAGACTACAAATGTTACATGTATTTATTCCAGTGTGGAATACAATGTAGGTATAAGAAATTCTTAGGTATTAATTGATAAACAAACTTCCAAAGTTTGAAATTCTGTATTTACGTAGGTACATTAAAAAGAACAGTGTAAAAATAGGTGGCATTAAGTTTATGTAACTTTGTACATAATCTGCTAACTATCTTGCTCTATGTACAAATATTTCTGGTGCGATGCATATGATTAGGGAAATAACTTAAGTTACCTACCACGGAAAAAAATGAAAACGTCCTCTTGTTTTCAAAAAGTTTTTCGCTTGAAGAAATGCACTGGAAATGTTGTTGTGTTAACGTTGCAACATATTGTTAACACGTGTTGACAGGTGTCAACAAAGACACGCCCCCTTATAATACGAAAATAACTTTAACATATACATATGAAGATATATATATATATATAATGTGTTTTGTTGATCGCTGTTTTTATATCATATTTACGTTGCTTTAGACAGTATTAAGAAGTAAATGAATTTATATTCTTATTGTTTAATACGAAAATACCGTATCAGGTAAATGCTGACTCCCGTCAAATCGATACCGTGACCTTGACCCTTAGAGTTGATTCATGTGACGCGAATAGAATATGCTGCAGACTAAGACTGGCTGTCTACATCTGTCGACTGTTGCTTTAGGATCGATAACTAGTTCAGCCACGAATTCTGCAAGTCTAACTGTGTAAGTATTATCTACACAGCTGCCAAATATATTTGCATTATTCCATTTAAATATTGTCTTTTGGTAAGTTGATAACTTGCTTTCTTGTTCAGCCGTTGCTGAGTCAGACGTCAGGTGACAAACACTTTCTTTCAAAAGGATTACAGTAGGAACGAATTAATTCATTATACGTTCCTCGATTACGTTAAGATTTTGATTAGTCTTGATGTAAAGATAACCAATTGATTTATATTTTTGTTTGAGACTTTCACATAAAGCGACAGACCAACACTAACAGTTTCTTGGAAAAAATACATGTACATCAGAGAATTGTAAAATGCAATTTTCTGTATGCTTAGTAAAATGAAATTTCACATTTATTTGTACAATTATGTGTATATAAAGATAAGAAACTTGCTTTCAGTTTTTAACCTTTTTTATCTCTGTTTCAGATCACTAGGTTTCCGTAGCATTGCTGAATGCACCAACAATGGCTGTGTGAAACTTCACTAAAAAATTATAATTAAGAATCATTTGTCAGAAAGTATGAGTTCCTCACGTAAAACAAGCTATAATAAAAAGATTCATATTGATGAATCTGATCTTTTGTGTAAGAATGGTTGTGGTTTCTATGGAAACCCTGCATGGCAAGGGTTCTGTTCTAAATGCTACAAGGAAGTCTACCAGAAAGCAAAGCAGGCACAGGCCCAGCATGATACGATGAAACCACCCAAAGCTGAAAAGTCTAAAGGGTAAGAATAACTGTGTATGTGGGAATGATCATCAAATGCAGATAGAGTGTGAATTATTTTGGCTTTTTATATTGGAACATCTTTGCCATTTCTATTGTAGATTAGTAGTAGTATTGTTTCCTGTTTATCTCTCTGTGAGTGATTCAATTTCTTCTCGATATCTGGTGCAGGTCGATAGTCAGAATTCCTTATATTTAGTGACTTGTGTATAAGTATGTTGGGGAAAAAAGTCATGAACTAAATCAATATATACGTATAGCTGCCTCTGATTTCTCCAGTAACCATAGTCCCTAGGTCATCTTTGAAAATGGAGAAATGATGTTTCCAATATCAAGAACAAATGTATCATTTAAACATAATGCATATAGGCAGATGATGAAAAAACCGCTTTGTAACAAGATCAATATATATTTAATTTAAATTATAAAGAAATACATTATGAAGGTGATTGAAATGTTTATATATAAATGAAGATTGAAACTGATTGTAAATTTTTATCTTTGTAGATCAGAGTTTGGTGGGTTTAATGTTATACCGTCATCTTTTACAAAATTTGAAGAGAAGAAAACACAACATGCAAACAAAAGGTCACATACAGTGAAATCAATATTTCGAAAGACACCATCAAAAGGTATTAAATATATTTACTGCAGTATTTTCATATTTTACTGCAATAATTGTTGACAACATACCAAACATTTATGTTGCCCAATCTGGACATTTTCATTCTAATGGTTTATAATTTCTTTTGTTTTCTAAGGAAGACTTTTTTGAATGATTTAAAGTTTTCAATAGTCTCAATGGTAAATTCTTTGGGATAAGTACCTGCATCCTTATCAAATGCTTTACATTAAAATTATCATCAAAATTTAAGTTGTTTATTTTCATCCATTGACTTCATTTTATGTTTAACCCTAACAGAATCCCAAAAAGTTCCACAACAGAGCAAATCAGGCTCTCATGAGATAAAAAGAGTTTGTCTTGAGTCCCAACAAGTAGGAACAGAGTTTGCAGACTTTTTGAAGAGAATTCAAAAGAATGCTGCACTAGATGTGACGAAGCATGTGAAGGCTGTTGTAGAGCGTGTCCAGAACATGTCTGACACTCCAGTGGATGAACTGGCTGAATTTGTACAGGATTTCTATCAGAGTCTAGGGGACCGTGTCAACAATAATCCTATCTACAAAGGTCAGTACCTTTACTGGTTGTAATCACGAAGACTCAAGATAATAGACTGAGAAGGATTTTATGAAATGCTTATATTAGTCACATGAACTACATTTTAGCTGGGGTGGAGGGAAAGATCTAAATCTGATAGCAACTTTTGTATCCCATAAGAATACTGTTAACATAAATTTACTTCATTTCATTTCATATAGGTATGTGAATCAATATTGATAAATGTGCCCTTCAGTTATGTTGTTTATAATTTTTGAGCGTAACCAGAAATGGATTTTGGTCTGACTGATTCATGATATTCCAGGCAAATGGTTAAGAATTCTTTTGTTCTTTTCATAGTAAAATATATAAATTGTAGGAATTAGAAATTCAAATTGAAAAGAAAATCAGTTTTACCTTTATTTTCTATGTTTACCAAATATTTGGAAAACTTACCATTGTATACTTTTGTTATTTTTTGACCTAAGATAGAATGGGAAAATAATCTTCATTTAACTAATATTCAAGAATATTTCAATGCAACATAATTTGAAATTATCCTTAACAGGCCACAGTAGTGAGACTATGGAGAAGCTTATGGACTTTACTGAGAGGTATGTAATGGTGCGACTATATGCCTGTGTGTTCTCCACACCAGACACACAGGATGAACAGAAGGATCTAGAGATACAGGATAGGATTCGTAGTCTGCATTGGATCACTGCCCAACAACTAGACACCATGATCAATGACCATGACACCACTGTCCGCCAGCTGGTGGACAAGGCAATCACAGGTATTACCAGGGAATACATTGTATTTGGTTTATCTCCTAAAATGGACACTGTATAGATGATGAGCAATCATAGGTTAGGAGAAATATTGGATGTATTTCTGCTGGAACAGATCGCCAATTAGGGGCAACATTGGGTTATTTCCTCTTGAACCGACACTTGCTATTGGATGTATTTCTGCTGGAACAGATCGCCAAATAGGGGCAACATTGGGTTATTTCCTCTTGAACCGACACTTGCTAGCTTCTGATCAGGTTATGGGGAATATTGGGTGTAATTCCACTGGATACATGTACATAAAGCAATAGAAGAAACCTTTCGAACGACCCATAATGGTATCAAAAAAGTGATTCTTTGTCTATCCTTGTTTTTTTTAGTAATATCTACAAGATTTATCAAGTATTTGTATTTTTAGACGGATGATTGATGTTTTTGACAAGGTTATATTGTTTACATTGATATTAATGTTAATTAACTGATCTACAGTAAAATTGTGCATTAAGATCACCTGACAATGACAACCATCCCACCATTAAGACAAATTTTGTCCCATCCCCAAAACAGTCTTTATTGTGATGTTTTATTGTGAGTATTGACAAGAGTTGACAAAATAAACAATTATTACAAAGTTTACAAATCATTTTACAGAGATCATAGACATGAATGCTAAGAAGTCTCCCCCAGACAAGCTGATGTGTGTGGTGAACTGCTGCAAGAGTATATTTGAAGTGATCAAACAGTCCAAATCAGGACCGGCTAATGCAGACGACTTCCTACCTGCTTTAATCTATGTTGTCTTGAAGGCAAACCCTCCTCTTCTTCATTCTAACATACAGTACATAACCAGATTTGCCAACCCCAGCCGACTTATGAGTGGCGAGGCTGGCTACTACTTCACTAACTTGGTATGTATTGTGAACAGCATGCAGCAGTAAAACACTTGTATCTTTACACAGAAAGCAGCCAGATTGATATGTTCATCTTTTCCGAAATGTTTACTGAGAATAATTTCAAAGATTAGAAAATTGTTGGATTAGGATTGTGCTTTTTTTATTGTAAACTGGGAATTTGAAAATGTCTCATATCATATCTTGGTCAGTTGCAGGTAATCAGTAATATATAGACAGTATGGAAATTGAAATTTTGAATGTGTCCATGCCTTTCAAAGGTGAAATTGCTATTTTCAGATGTCAAATAATCTGGAATAACACCTACTGGTTTCCTGCATCAAGTTTTTTAAACATTTGTGTAATGCATGTAGGACTTGAGATCAAGAACACATATTTTTCATATGATTTCCATATTTGGCATTGTATGAATTTAGTGCAATTTTGGAAGCATTGAATGTATTGTATACATGTTAATGTAGCATTTTCTTTATATCTTTTACCAGTGTTGTGCTGTAGCGTTTATTGAGAGTCTGGGTGCAGAACAGCTTGCCTTGACACAGGAGCAGTTTGACCGTTATATGTCAGGAGAAGCTATACCACCACAGGTTGGCAATGAATACATGTGTGAGGGACTACGTTTAATGTATGAGAACTTGAAAACTCTGGCAGAGTTAAAACAGCGACAGGAGAAGGTCATGGCTGACACACTACAACTCCAGCAAGATATGCGTGAGTTCAAGGAGAGTTTCAAACAGGAGATAAAGAATGTATTGGAACGAACCCCTCTTATTATACGACCAGCCAAAACCAAAGTGGACATGGACGCTGAAATCTGTGTTGAGTTACCCTCTCCTTTATTACCTGAACGAATCTCAGTGTCATCTGTTTCCACATTGGAGTGTACCAACACTGTAAAGGAGGGCTCTGACTCTGACTCAAGCACCACAGAACCAATGGAGACCACACATAGTCATACAGACAATCAAGGTTTTGACTCGGGACCAGACAAACCTGCTGATAATAATACTCAAGCTGCAGACATGTTACAAACACATTCTACACTAACAAGCTGATTTTGTTGTGATATTTCAGTTACTTGTTATCTAACTTAATATGGAAACAAAGTGGTGGGGTATTTGATATTCATAATGCAAAACAATATTTGGTCATAAGTATGCAAATTTCTTTAAATTCTTAACTTAATACTCTATTATATCTTCTTTCATTTTTTTTATTTGTGTCCCCTTTTTATTTTCCTAAATCTGTGCAATTAATTATCAGATTTTGTTAGTATGATCAGGTTTAATTAAGGATTATGAAGAAGATAATCTGTTTGAAATATCGAAATTTTAGGAAATTTATGATTTGATCTTTTTTACATGTATTGCTAAGTTCACATGTGACAATTGTTAACTTAAACATGTATCATAATTTTATTTTGTTCATTACATTTGATGTTTTGATACTTATATCAAATTTTGAAAGTACCATTTTTTTATATTGTGAATCAATTATTTATTAATTTTGAAATTTAGATTTTGTAAATTTCAAGTGTCTATCTGTACAAGTGCTGTAAAATTGTTCTGATATCAAAGATAATCTGGGGTATAATTAAATTATACCTAGCACCCTAAATACAAAAATAAAAACAATGAAATGAAAACAGCCATAATAATCACAGAGGCCAGATATACTGATAGTGGAGAACATTGAGAATAATAAATCACAGAATGTTTAGTTACGGTGACATTCTCTGCTTTCAGTCGATGCAATGCAGCACATATACTGTCACATAACAGGACATGTATGTTGTGCACATATAACCCTAGTTTTAGGAATGAAACTGAACAGCTATACACCACTGATTAAGCTGTCAAAATAACATATAAAAATCCAAGTTCTATGAATTCTGTACGATATCATCATCATAATTCATGAACTTGTGGTTTTGAATTAATTGTACATGCTCTTTAATAGATATTTGACAACAATAATTAGTCTCTCTGACCTCCTGTGATAGTAGATAAACCTTGCACTGAACAAAAAATTGTTTTACTGTATGTACTATTCACATTTTTTCAGTGTCATATCTAATCGGATGACAACACTGGTCATATTTCCTGGGTGAATTTTTATACAGAAAAATGCCACATCATTTAATATTATAAGAAAAGATCCTTATTTGGTCCATATATGTGATTGTCCTAGAGTAATCACAGTACTTATGGGTTTGTCGTTCCATTTATACACTAGTTCTGGAAAATTATCTCAGATTCCAGAAATCAAAATTTTCTGAAATATGTCAGGGTCATACACTGTTATACGTGCAATATGTTCCTTAGTTGAAGGTCAATTCTCCAAGAAGTATGGAGATTTACAGTCTCATGAAGGAAATAATTTATTATAATTATACTGTGATGTACGGAGTTAGGGTCAGGCTGACCTGTGATCTTTTATTTTAGTTTAGTATACTGTACAAGTTAGTTTCTTGGTATACAATTCCCTTTCTTTTCTTTTGATAATGCACATTCATGTTTAAATTTCAAAACAAGTAGTTACAAGATGGTTTCATTGTGTGTATGATAAGTGTACACTTTCGTAGTTATCTGTAATGTTGCATATTTAATATCAACATGATAATTTACATGAATTTGTTTTTTAAAAAGGTTTTATATGATTACTTTGTTACCATGAACTTGTATTGGACAACAAATATTTCATACTGTAAAGTTGTATATTTTTGTTGCGGTTAATGTTCATGGGTTTTTCTCGAAAGGACTCATCTGCATGTGATTTTAAATATTTCTAACTCCCCATGAAATTACACTTGAAATTCATGTCAGAGACATAACAGTTTACTAATTCTTTGCTATTTGAATTTGTGCCTCAATATAATGAATGAAAATAAAAACCCCCAAAAATATGTTATTTTACAGTATAATTATTTGCCTTCCAATTATTATAATACATTTGTGAAATTGTCCTGCTTGCAGTTTGGTGTGGGTTGTGAAGAAAAGCTTGTGGTGTACATGTGGTCAGTTTTTTCTGTGACCTTTGGTTTATACAAACATCACTGTGTCGGGGTCCAACAGATCAAAATGTTGTCCAATGTTTCTGCAAGTTTCTCTAATCATAAACGTTTTGTTTTTTGAAGAGTGAATTTAAGTTTACTCCAAACCAACATTGAAATGTCATATACAGCACTGTCAGGGCCATTTTCTTTAATCAGTTAGACCAAGATGGTTTGTTTATGAAAATGTTTTTAGGATGTAAAGGTCAGTCAATTTATGCGTGTAATGTTTCATTTCAAATGTTAACAAACAAATTGGATTACATAAACAAAATCAAGCAGTATTTGTCATCTTAATAATACCAAAGGATATTGCCTATATACCTACAACTAGTTTAATTTTGATCACATTTTGAATATTTCATTGAATTTTTAAACCAACAGACATGTTTCAATATTGATTAGATTTTCTGTCATAAAAAGATCGGTCTTTGCAGTAATTTGTGACCAGGTACTTAACTTGTCTTTGAGATATGAATTCATGTTTCAGCCCTAGCAGCTTTTGAATTAACATTGTTTGGCTAAGTGAACTTTCCTCAAAAGATACTGCAATTATTTGTTGTGTGCGGTTAAAATCTGGACTTTCTTCAACATAAAATGTATATACCTGGAAACATTGAAACAACATGTTGACAGGTGTACATCTAACATGAGTTATTTTCCATTTTCAATCGAAATGAGCTCAATCAAAATTCAATTTGTTTCTTCCTTTGAAATGCATACCAGGAAATGTCAAAGAATCATAAAAGAGTATATGATTTATTAAATAAGTTCAAATAGACTGGGATGACTGAAGTAGAATGTTAAGGCAGAGCAATGTTGAACAAATATATAGGCAGTATCAATAGTAATCCTGATTCAGATGTGTAGGACATACTACACAAATCAAACAACTGATCACTATTATAGTAACTCCAGGATACCAATACATAGGCAGTATCAATAGTAATCCTGATTCAGATGTGTAGGACATACTACACAAATCAAACAACTGATCACTGTTATAGTAACTCCAGGATACCAATATATAGGCAGTATCAATAGTAATCCTGATTCAGATGTGTAGTACATACTACACCAATCAAACAACTGATCACTATTATAGTAACTCCAGGATACCAATATATTTTTAGACTTCTGGTTGCTGTTAGGTTTGTTAAAAATATACCATTTACATTTTGATATAAACTAAGATGAATATTGGATAGTGTACGGCAGCAGCAAACTAAAGTTTTCAGAATTTCAACTATATAATTCTGTCGAAAGAGGAAACAGCTGCTCTTTGTCATTTCCACTTAGAAATCCATTTCCAGCTGCTTCTTATTTATAAATTGATGTATTGAAATAAAGTAAATGAAATAAATCATTTGTTGAACACGTGTTCTTGTTTTCCAATTTCTTTTTTATAAACAAGTTTTCTTTATGAAAACCGAGTTTTTAAATTGCTTTTTGAAGATCACTCAAAAGGCACTTACTGTTGCAACTATTTCTCAAACCCACTGAGGAATTGTTTTCTGAAAGTTTGCTGTGATCAATTTTTTTATCTTGAACTGTGCTTGTAATGTTTGGAAATTATCAGACCTTCATGTGAAAAGATAGTGGCCATTTTGAATATTCAAATTATAATAGCCTTTTTCTCTGAAGATCTAGAACTATTGAAAAAATCTTCACAAACTCTAGAGATATGTAGATCACAGGACCCATTTTGAGCCTGATATGGAATTCAATATGGCAACCAGCAGCCATTTGGAATTCAGTATAAGAAATTTTTTAAAGTGATACGAATGTGAAAAGGATATGAAATGAAAGAGAAATAGAACAATGTTTTTAGAATATCTTTAATGATCACTCAACTATCTCAACAATAATTTAAGCAGTCTTTTAGTGGAATCCTCAAGCAATGATAAATGCAAATTGGTACATCATGTTTCTGTCATCAAAGGGACATTACTCTGTGTACCACTAAACAAGACCACTTGTAGTGCCAGTCATTCTTGGCTATAAATATGTGTGTGACGTTTTTATTGTCTTCCAAATCAGAATTGAATCTCTTGTCAATATATTCCTTACAAATTAATAACAGGCCTTGTATTGAATTGTGTTAAATCACATAAAACTGATATTTAATCAATCATAATATCCCATTACTTGAGGTACAGTATTGGCTTCAGCAATCTGTCATTTTCTTATATTTCAATCATATATATAACTTCAAGATCCCGAGGAAAGTTCACTGATACTGGCATTTTCTCTTTCATAGTTTATTGTTAGCTTTTCCACTGCTTCACGAAATTTTAATGGTGATCTATTGTCTTGTGTGTTCATAAATCTTTTCAATGCATCTCGTGCTGCCATCTCCTCTGCTATAGACACTGTCTCTCCGGGTGCTACAACACACAATGAGTTAGGTTATACTGCATGCTTACTTTCAATTTGATCAAACAATAAATACAGCAGAAATGGGTAAGATAGCAAAACCTTGATTAAACCAGAACTGTCACAAGGATGGCTGACTAATAAACCCCCCCATCACTCCTCAAAAATAGTTTTGGAGGGGTTGTCCCAACAAGAGATCTTCATTCAGTCACCATGGCAACGAAATGAAACCAATAAGGATGTTGTATTCCAAGTTTGAGAAATTCCAGACAGGGTGATTCCAATATACATATATGTGAAAATTATCCAGTTGAATATTTGGTTGGTAATGTCAGTACAAGGAATATAATGTATACTGTCAAGGATTGGAAGGGCTATATTTGAGTAGAGTATTAGCAGGTTCTGAATTTGTTTTGATTATCTTGTAGATAGAATCTAGAGGCCCTGCATCTGAGCCTAGTGGCATGTTTACATGTCGGCACTAAGTTTACCTCGTCCTATGAGTTTCCTGTCGCTATAAACTCCTACATGGTACAAAGAGAGAGCTGTAGATGCACCCGACTTCCATATTAATCTGCAACAAAATGAACAAATACAATCAAATATTGTGATTCAATTAAATATTTCTTATACTTCCCACAACAAAGTTGAATATGAATCTGTTTGCCTATGTGTTCCCTTAGTTTTCCAAGGATTTTTTCAAATTTCATGCAAAGTGCCAGAATCATAGTATGGAGTTGTGTCTCCTTAAATTATTTTGCATTTCAACCATTTTTTAAGGGTCTAATGCCCCTTTGTGAAAAATGAACACAATTTTGTGCGGCTACAGTACTTATTTCATTTTCCAACAGATTGTCTAAAAAAATGTACTGAAAGGAAGTAATATACCTGTGTTACGGTTTTCAGTGTACTGAAGTCCTAAGTCTAATCTATACTGATGTGTTGTATACTACCAGCTAATTCTAAACCATGTAAAATAAAATATCCATGTCATATGAGATTCTTTATTCCAAGGTACAATGTAGCGGGAGAACCATCACTCCAGATGTTTAAGAAGGTGATAATGTTTCAGACAGAAAGTATTTACAAAGAAGCATTGTTAAGCAGACAGGCAGACAGAAACCTGAGTGACTGCATACCTTGGTTCTGGAGGTGACATGCCCATCTTGTTGAGTACGTCAGTGAGAAGTCCCATAGGGTTTACAACATCCCAGATCTCATTAATGTCCTCTGCCACTAGCTGGACAATGATGAAGTCTCTTACGAAAGCTTCAGCTCGAGCAACATCCTGGTAAGAGGTATATATTTCATAAGATACTAAGCAGTTAACATTACCATGTACACTAATTAGATATTCAATTTTTACAGTAAGTTTTATCTCCACCTCATACCTTAATAAAGACACTGAGCAGTGATAATGGTTTTTGTGGATATTTACAAACAACATTTGTGAAAAATCTCTGAAGTTTCAAAGTACAATCCAACTGCAATCAAAAGTTAATGGTGAGAAATGTTTCCTTTTCCTGTGCTTCTCATATCTTTATACTAAAGAATATAGTATATATAATATTACACAAGCATTGCTTAGAACAATATGATGAATTCTGTGATATGCAAATTTCATTTAATTGTTTTAGGTCTTGAGTCCTAAGATAACCGTATTGTGATAATTTTGCATTTTTTTCAAGGTAAAGCTATCCATTGATATGTCAACATTTGTCAATTGGATGCCTCATTAAATGCAAGAAACAATCCACATGTTCTGTATTCAACAACTTTGAATTCACACATGCAATACTATGAAGCCCTTGCTATCAAGTCAAAAAGAAATTCTTTGTTAATCATCTTTCTAGATAATGTATCAAGTGTTCTCACATAGCCCTACCAATATACCAGTAGCTTCCCTTAGTCCTTCCAATAAACTAGTAGCTTTCCTTGACCCTCCCAGTAAACCAGTAGCTTCCTCTGGCCCTTCAAATACACCAGTGGCTTCCCTTGGCCATTCCAATACACCAGCAGCTTCCCTTGGCTCTACCAATATACCAGTAGCATCCCTTAGCCCTAAAACTATACCAGTAGCTTCCCTTAGCCCTATCAATAGACCAGCAGCTTCCCTTGACCCTACCAATATACCAGCAGCTTCCCTTGGCCCTACCAACTTACCAGCAGCATCTCTTGGCCCTACAAATATACCAGCGGCTTCCCTTGGCCCTATCAGTGTACCTGTAGTCTTGTCTCCCTTTACCATCCCAATTAACCATTAGCACCCTACACTACTGATATACTGGTAACCTACTATTGCCTCCCAATATAACTATAATCTCCCTTGGCCCAAGTAATGCACCATTTGTCTCCCTTGGCCCTTACCTGGCTCTCTGCTAGAGCTCCAACAACTGCCTTCATTGTTACACAGTAGTCTTCATCTGTAGGTGGATAATCCTGAAACAAAGTCAACAAATTGTAGAAACAATTGAATCTTCATAAGAAACACAAGAAGGTTCCACATTGTTTTACTCTAAAACAAACAATCATTTATTTTTCAGCCTCTGAAACTTTGCCATACCTTTATGCATTCATTACGCTGGTAGAAGTTTTGAATATATTCCAGCACTATTCTGTCTCTGTAATATAGCTTTTTCATATTTCCAGGAACTTTGAAAAGAATATATGGGTCATTTCAATTTCCTCTAATTATAATAGCAAAAGCTTGTTACTGTAAACTGCACAAGGTTTCTATGTTCTTTCATTTGTACTTTTTTTCTTTAAAAACTGATAAATATCCACTACCTATGAATGAACCTGCATATATTTATAGTTTATAAGTAAAGGATGGCAGGCAATGGACCCAGTACTTTGAGTCTTTGTTTATGTTATCTGTGATCCAGACCTCGAGTGGCTTTTACAAAGTTAGACCATATTTTGGACTGAATTAGGCTAATGAGTAAAACTCAAGACTTCACTTGTGGCACAACAAATGAGCAACATGATGTATCTTTTTGTATGAAATACTCTTCTTGGCCAGAATGGAAGCACACAAGTACTCTTAATGAGGGAGGAAAACTGGAGTACCCACAGTACACCCATCTAGTCAGGTTAATGACCCTACACCTTTCACACTCTGACTGGACTGTCTTGGTAAATAGGAAGTATGTGTTACTACTGCTCCATATGCCAAGCATGGAGACTGAATGTCTTTTATGATTTATATCTACTGGTAAACATGCGGATTGGTCCAGGAATAATGAGTCACAACTCAAATTAAATATATCTGAATATACTTTTTCAATTCATTTCAGAACAAATATATCACATTTATTGCAGTTTTATTACCGTTTTCATAATGATGTCTTTCAGGCCCAGCTGGCTCCCAACATAGGAAAACATTTCGTCAGACACAAGGTAGTCATGGATAGCTCTGAAAATCAGAACACTTGTGTTATGATACACTAAACATTTGAATTACATACATATCTAGCAATATACCAACCCTACATATTGTTGTTCAGTCAAAATACCGATCAATACTATTTCAATAGTGAGAGGTAATGTGTGTTTTTATCCCTGAGTTTAACGGTAGGATACAGTGAGAAGAAAAAGTAAAGAAGTCCTTCTTCAAAAATAAATAAACCTTAAATATTTCATAAATGTTGAAAAATAACCAGTAACTATAATAAACTGATGATAAAACTCAATCAAAAGTGAAAAAATAAAAGTGGGCAGTAATGTAAATGCTCACCTGATTCCCTCTTCAAACATCTGTGGGTACATCGCTCGTAGATAAGCCTTCACATAGCGGGATGTCAACTGTAACCCTGGTAACATAATAAAATTATCAGTATATTTGATATGTTAGATGGTTTGGTTTATCATTACTTTAAATCCTATTTAGGGCCTGGGTCATTTAAGGATGTGCCAGGTTTGGATGGTGGAGAAAAGCTCTGGCTGAAAAACCACTGATCTGCAACCATTACTTAGAAACTGCCCCACATAGGTCTGGAACCTGTGAACCAGAGGACGGCCAAATGCCTTGACCACTGGACCACTGTGGCCCTTTATGTTAGATCTGTACTGATAAAAATATAAGACTGTACACAAGCCTACATGTCTGTTGCTTTTAGATGTAGGATATTATCACACCTATGGGAAACATCAAAACATCAAATTTGTCACAGAGACTTGACGCAAATATCTTATGTCAGGGCCTGCATATACATGTAATGATACTCGTAACACAGATGCATAGGCACATGTGAAATTTACTACTACAGTGTTAAAACTAAAAATTTTTGAAAAGCTGTGTGTGGAAGGATGTTGGAAAGTGGGGGAGTTGAGGAAGGGGTTCTATTTTGATCTGTTTGATATATGTGTATATTAACTGTAAAATGAAACCTATTACATGTCTTTTATACCTCTACGTATAGACTTTTCATTAATGTTGTAAATTTTCAAATAGGTGATAGACGGAATAAAATGAACGCTGTGCCATGACATAAGGTAATTGACCCTTCGGACTAGGACTAAAATATCCAGAGGAATCTTGCTATCCTGAATCATTTGACCTTTATTTATCTGAAATTTGAGATAGATCCATTTGGTACTTTTTAAAGAAATGACGATAATAGATTTTCATGGTTAAATGCAAGATAGTTGCCTCTCAGCCATTTTGTTTCTATGATTAGTCTCAAAATCAAACAGGTACAATTAGTGAACAAGAAACACCTACACTTGAAAATTTGTGAAAGAGTCTTTGGATACTTCAAGACATGGTAACAACATTAGGCCTCGAATTTAACATTTTTTGTCACTTGCTGAAAACAGCAAGTGCCTTAAATTTGTACTTGCTAAAATGACTTTTTACTTGCTATTATCGCAAATCTCCATGTTCAAATAATGTGTTTTGTTTTGTGATTTATAATGTATTACCTTGCTTCATCCAATATATATCAACATTATAGAAGAACTGCTTTGTCCCAATATTTTCACTTTAGAAATCAAAACTCAAAACAATTTAATTCTGTGAAATGTTAGGAATAGACAGGCAAAAAAGCAAGTCATTATTTTTCTACTTGCAATTCTTGGATTTCTACTTGCAAATAGTCAGTAAAAAGCCTTAAATTCGAGGCCTGAACATGAATTGTTTATGAACGGAATATGCACATAGGTCAATTAGAACAGACCATCCTCTTATGAAGGTGGGATAAAACTGTGGGAAAGGAAACAAGGATACATGTACCTGTACATAGTACTACTTACAACAGTGAACTGAAATACTGACCTTGTTCTGCCAGCTGTTCATTGTGTTCTATAGATCCTGTTATACTTTCATCATCTTCTAACAGGATTTGGTTGGCTTTATCTTCCTCTTCTTGATATGATCTGAATTTTAAAACAAGTACTTCACATCTATTGAACAGTCATGTTGTATATTAATTATCTATAACTGGTTATGTTTTCCTTTTGTTGGAGGAGGGAGGGGTGTCAGAATGGGGTATGATACTTGCATTCTCTTTCCTTTTTTAAATATAGTGGACATACTTATTAGATATGAGAAGATAAAGTACTTTACATCTATTGAACAGTCATGTTGTATTTATCAATTAACTATAACTAGTTATGTTTGCCTTTTGTTGGAGGATGGAGGAGAGGTGTTAGAAAGGGGTATGATACTAGAACTTGCATTTTCTTTCCTTAGACATACTTATTAGATAGGATTGTAGTCGTGTTTCATTTGAATAGTCTGCACATACAACATATAATTGTACATCTTGTATTCTTTACCTTAGTACTAAAGCCCTTTTAAGTATTTCATCTTTGAAGTCTTCACCTAATCTTTTACCAAATGCAAACACCTCAGAATCGTAGTTCCTGCAAGATAAGAAATGAAATGACATGAAGAAAATAAATATTTTTCTTTTGGCATATTTATAGCAATACAGTTATAAATCTAGGAATTAAGCAAAAATTAAACATAACAGAAATTTCTATCCTGTAACTTCATAAATGTCTGTAATGGTTATTATATAAAATTTATCACATGATGTACTTTAAGATGTATATAGCCAGTATATCAAAATTTACAAAAACATGCACATACCATATTCCATATGCAGATGGATGTCTTTCTATATCTGGCCCAAGGGCTTGTCGTTTATGAAATAATTCCCTAAGGACAGGACGCCTTGATCTATAATTTTTCAATGTTCTAGTACATGTATCTGCAAAATACAATCAGTGGTTCATGACATAATTTTCAAAACTGTTTGCCATTAACAGAATAAGATTCATAGTCAATAAACATATAGTGTCAAGTAATGCCTGTTTACACAGTTGGATCTTTAACAAGAGGTCCAAGTGACTTAGTGGTCAAGGTCTATGGACCTTAGTGGTCATCTGACTATAAAGACCAGAGTAGTAGCAGATGAAACAAATATTTAATGATTAAAATGCAATCAACCTGAATTGCTCACCTGTCTTACGACTTACACAGATTTTGTTAGATCATAAAGTCAATTTCTGCCAACTTGAAATCCTATTCATCAAAGATGCACAAACACAAATACCATGATCATGGACCTACTGCTTGTTGAAAGAAGAAATTGCAACTTCATAACACATTTGACCTCTGTGACCTTAAAAGTGGATAACCGTCAATCATTTGAACAATCTTGCTAGCCCTTAATCCAATTATGTTACAAAACCAATATCAAAAGCATGAACTTTTTGGTTATTAAGAAGTTGTTGGTAGAATTTAACACAGCTGACTCCTGTGACCATGAAAGTGGACAAAGGTTATTTATTTGATCAACCTTGGTATCCCTTCATCCAAGCATGCTACTAATACAAGAACCTATGGTCAGGTGACCCAGTGGTAATGCACTCCACATTCATTAAGGCATCTGTGGTTTGATTCCTGAAAGCTTGCAAAGTCCAAAATCCAACATGACCGTCTGTCGGCCATTTTCTCTTCTGATAAGTCAAAAAAAGTTAAATGGGCATAACATGGGAAAAAGGGGAACCTACATAGTAAATTTAAGAGAAATCCATCATGCACTTTTCAAGAAATAGCAAAAGCAAACTTCATTAAAAAAAATCCAAAATGGCTGCCTTCTGCCATATTGTTTGTCTGATCAGTCCCAAAATTAAACGGACATAGCTAGGGACAAAGGGGAAGCTAACTATGTAATTTAAGAAAGGTCCATCCTCTCGAATAACAAAAATTGCTTACCAGTGGACGATGGACAATGGACATACAGCAATTTGAATATAAATATATAAAAATATCAAAATATTTGACCATTGCGACCTTGAAAGTGGGTCAATGTCATTCATTTGAAACAATTCAGTAGCCCTGGATTCCAGCATTCTACAGGTTCAAAATCAGCATCTTTGGTTTTCAGTTATTGGAAAGTAGTTTTTCCAGGACTTATGTTGCAACCATGTTAATGTCATTCATTTTAACAAATTTGAATGCTTTGCATCGCAACATCCTACAGGCCCAATTTCAGTACTCCAGGCCTTTTGCATGTACCCAATGACATTGAAAGTGGCTTAATGTCAATCATTTGAATAAAATTGGTAGCCCTTCATCCAATCATGCAGCAGAACCTATATCAAATATCAGGGGTTATCTATTTATTGAAAAATGTCATTTTAAGGGAAAGTTTAGGCCTCACCACATGACAGATGGTGGACTTAGGGCACAAAAAAAATGAGAAGAAACACTATGGCTTTTGGTCATCCAAATGCTTCTTCGTAAAAAGAGAGCATCTGTATCAGGTGTATCAGTATAAGAAGTTCTGGTTAAACATAAAGCACTAATGAAATATCTTCTATTTTAACCTTTAACTGTATAACATTTCCATAAAAAAATTTGTACATGCAATGGTACTGATATATGCAGAAAATACAAAAACTAAGGATATTCTGCCAGATACAGCATTCTTTTAAAAATGCATGTGTTGAATATATAAGCAGTCCAGCCTCAGTCCTCGTTCACCGTTCCGTCAGTTGTCTCCCTTAAATCAACATCCAATAAAACATGGAGTTAAAAGCACGCTAAATACCAGAGCATATTTCTATCAACTGGAAAGAAAAAATATCGTGAAACGCCCAAAACAATAACATTGCGTTTTTTTAAAATAGCACTCTTAAATCTTTAAGGTCAGAATCAACTGTCAACAGGTTAAGCTGCTCGGTCTGCTGTGCATGCTGTCCTTCATTTTCACCAAATTTGAAACATAAATATCAACGAATCAAGGTGGAGTTCATTATCGAAAGGAACGGCGCATAAATTACCTTTATGGAAAAATGTCTCAGTTATAAACTTCGATTTTCGCATGAGATTTAACCGCAAGCACATGCGAGCCGCCATATTTGTTTTTTGGCAATGACTTAGTTTCGTACAACGGAATATTATGCAAGGAACATAATTAATTTGGAATTGAGAAACTAGACAGATATCTTAATCTTAAAATTTCGTTGCATTTAACATTCTCTTCGTCTGTAGTAATACATTATTTAGACATATAAATTGTACTTCGAAACTAGTAGGATTTCTGAGTGTGAATGCTTACATTTAATGCAATCCACACGATTTGAATGATCCAGCCAAAGTTGTCCACTTCAGAATTAAGACCGGACCTAACACTTATTCTTTTACTATCCGATGAGATAAAAGAAAGATTTTACTTTGGTCTTTGAGTTGTTTGTATTATCTTATGCAAATACATCACAATTTGTGTCCGATCTATTTACATGAACTATCCAGACACACTGGGTTTCCCGAGTATAAGAACACCTCCAAGGTCGAGGACACAAATCTGACAAGATGCGACTCACGTGTGTGCTAGGTTATTTCAAGAGATACAAAAGCTTGGGTGGACAGCCGTTTTCAGGGTAAAATAATGAATCTTCAGAATTTCTCAAATAATTGTCTCAATCTTCGTCTTGATTGCATAGTATAATGACGAACGCTTAATGACAACATAGTCATAGCATCAGTCGATAAGTCGTTTCATGAGCACTGAAGACGTTTCTGCACAAAACGATTTTATTCAACAGGATTTTACGTCCACAATCACAGCCTTTCGGCTTTCAGTGGACGATTAACAAAGCGAGTCAGTTTGGCACATTTAAATATTTAAATATCTAGTCTACATTCGTTCTTTCGTATTTTTTTAATGGTGCCTCGATCTTAGTTTGGTTTCTTTGGGCAATTGATGTATGTTGCATTTATCTTCTATGAACCACACTTCTATCATATCTGTTTCAAAATCTCCTATGTTGAAGAGAAGAGTGTCCTGATTCTAGGAGTATTTCTTTGTAGGACTTCTTGTAAATATATTTGACTAGTTTCGTTGCTCATCTTCAAACATTTTCCAAAACAATGTCCTTTTTATAGATATATTCTAAATATGGCCGGACTAAAGCCTTGTATAAGTTAAGAAAGGGATTTTTATCTATGTGTCTGAATCTTCTTCGAATTATACCTAGATTTCTTCACCAACACAAGTTATATGTACATATATCCATATGTTGTTGGAAGTCATTGTGTATTCTTTCACTGGTCCTTTTCCTAGATGTAGTTATTTGCACTTGGATGAATTGAATCTGATTTGGCAGTCTGGACCACTGAACTAGGCTTTTGATATTGTTTTGGAAGTGAACTCTTCACTTGATTAGAAGAATTATGACTTTTCTCCATAATGACAAGTTTGGATTTTTAAAGACAAAACCCCCAAAATCCAGAATATTCCTTTAGCTAGAGGTATACAAATGCATGGCCTGCAAATAAGGCCCAGTGGCTGGGTAGTGTTAGTTTTTGTTAATGTTCACTGAGCTGAGAGGTTGTCAAAGCCCACACTCCTTGATCTTTATCTTCCTGTGCCCCATGGCCTTCAAATCTTAAGGCTGTAGTTAACAGGTTAGTTAGTTAGGTAGATTTAGCACTAATTTGCATGACCAGAGCCACTTTGTTAATGAATGAAAAAAGTGAAATGTTTGATCATGAAAATTATATTTGTCAAATGGAAAATTACAAAGTTATTTTTTGAATTAATTTACATATGTGTTTTCAGTTGTGAATAAAAAAGGAACTAAAACATTTTAATGTATAATGTCAAGTTTGTATAAATTATTTTTCACAAATTAAGATAAGCGTAAGATAAGTACAATAAGTTTATTTCTGGTTCAGGACTATACCAGACTCATTACAATACAGTATGAATACATAATAAATTACACTCCTATTCCAGTCACTAATCCTAATCTAAAAATGGAGTCCTTTTCATCTCAGTCAGGAATCAAATCCAAGTCACCTGTATAATCAACATTAAAGTAGTTCACCGTTTCAGACATCCTGGACAGAAGTGTAACATGCAGTCTGTTTCCTTAACAGGGTTTAATAGGACAATAACACAATGAATAATTTTAATTCACTTTCAAGCATCAACATTTCCCTTCAAAAGTCAATAACCAAAACAGCAGTCAAATGTGTTATTCAGTTGATTGACATGGAAAAAACGTCTTTTCTAAGAACAAACAATGTTACAGCAGTCAGATGTGTTTGGTCAACAAACATGGTATTTATGTAGTAGCATGCATATTTATTTAAACTGACTACTAGGTAAATCAGCTGTGTAACTGCAGAACATCTCTTTTTTTCTTGCAATTATTGGGTACCTTGGTAGATGCAATGAGAGAGGAGTGGGGTATGAAAGGTTAAATGGGATTGGGTCATTCTATTCTTCATGTAAAGAAGGGTGAAGAGCAGTTTGATGAATAGTATAATTATCATTTTGTTCTATTACAGGAAAAATAAAGTGATAAAAAGAGTTGAAAACACACACAAGGCAACTGCTGTGAAGAATATTCTACAGAATGCTAGAAATATGGAAATAATCAAAAGGCCCTACATATCAGAGGTAAGACATACATGTAAACAAAACAAGGCTAATTGATGGTTTTTTCAGTTAAATTGAAAACTTGTTTTATTTTCACTAATATCTTCAATAGTTCATCACATCATGGTTAACCTTGTTCAGATAAAACACCCAGAATTTTTTCAGCTTAAAATATATATAAGAAAATCTCAATACACACATAGGAATCAAAATGTATACTGCTTTATGATTCATTGTACTGACAAAAGTAAGGCTAAATTTGAGTTGTGACAGCATCACCTAAATATTTAGGTTACCTGAGACAAAGTCTCGAGTGACCTATTGCAAATGCCTTTTGTTCGTCATTGTGCATTGTAATTTACATTTTTGGCATCGTCACAATCCCGGGAAGGCCCAGAAATTTGATTACGGGACTGTAGCATGCCAGGATAAAGGACTACCAAGTTTGTAAAAGTAAATGATCTTGACCCACTTTCAAGGTCACAGAGGTCAAATGTTTGAGATTTAGTATTCATTTTCAGTTGGAATTATAAAACAGGTCGGAATTTCATCCTGAAGGAGGTTCAGTATTTTGAAAACAGTGCAGTGCCCTAAGAGTTTGATTTGTTCAAGTTTCTGCAACATCCTTTAAATCTACACTTGTTACAAACAATACTCTACAGGCTTTAATCTGTAGATATTGGATAAGACAGTTTTGTTCGATTTGTCCTTGCAACAAAAATTCAACTGGGGTTACCATTAAGACCTGTGGACCTCTTGTATAGAGTAAATTGTGATGTCATGAACGTGGACATTGCATACCACTATATCTTATAGTGCCATTTATTAAATTCTCAATAATTTTATAGAAAAATTTGAATGGTTTTCTCTCAAAAGATTGTGTTCTCAAGTACATATGTAGAGCCTTTTCTTATTTTAGAAAATGCATTTGAAATTGTACAACCCAGCTGCTGGCTCCCATTGAGACTGTTTTAAGATACAACTACTGAAAAAATACTGATTATTATTTGAGGCATTTAATATTTATATATTTACAACATTTCAGAAAGAGGAACGGGGATCTGCAAAGCTATTGAGGAACGCAGGATTAAGGGAAGACTTTGTAACAAAGATGAAAAAGGAAAGGGACGAAAAATGGCTTGAGAAACGACCACACTATTCAATAGAAAGTCACCTCGAACAATTAAATATTTCAAAAAAGTGGGAATGATGTTAACATATACTCTAAACATTTACTAGAAAACACTGCTCAGCCAATGTTATAGGTGATTGTGTTGTTAACTGAAAGTGTCATCATCTTGATTCAGTATCAATATTAACTACTGACAAATATTGTGCAATTCATCGATGTTTATGAAGATGAAGGCAACAAACGAACTATGGAGCATCTGAATATTTGATGGATGTAACAAAATTACATGCCTCTCTGAATGCAATGTTTGTGATATGAAGATTGACAGTTAGTGCAGTGATATTACTTCCTCTTCTTAAAATAGAAATCAATGATCAATTTCACCCTAGAGTATGAGGAAATCGATTACAGAACATACAGTTATTGTAGTCATGTATAGGGATTCATGTATGCTGATTGTGTGAAATGATAGATGTAGTATGTCTGAGTGAGTATTCTTAATATTTGATTGAGAAATGATGATGTTAAATAAAATTTAACAAAAAATGAAAATCTGAAGTCCTTGTTTGTTTTTACATGTTGAAAAAGAAATTGTATACTTCTTATATAGTAGACATCCTCTGACAAAGGTGAATCCTCAGTATGAAGATGATAAGGAGCTGTCCTGCCAGCGTAGCGAAACCCTGTCACTGGCATGGAAAAACTGGAAGCAAGTGATAGGGAGGTCTGTTGATAGGGGTAGCTGTAATTCACAGATAGTACCATCATACATGTATTTCAACAAAAGAATAAGATATTCAAAGATAGTAAATGGATTAGCAGGGCTTTAAACAGTACTCTTCACAAGGAATTTTCACCCAATTGCATTCATGTGTCAATAAACTGTGAAAGAAGTCTTAGTCTCGATTACTTCACCACCAGAGGGAAAAAATGTGCCTATATTTATGTATTATAAGAGATCTTGGAGGAATTGTAGCACTAACCATTGTTTGATCTTTATTTTCTCATTTCACTTCTTTTCTTATCTTTCTTCATTTATGTGAATTTTAAAAATTCCTCTTAGGGAGTGGCAACAAAAATATTTGACTGTAAAATCCAAGATGGCTGCCGGTTTGCCATTTTGTTTTTCTGGTTGGTCCAAAAATCAAAAGGGCACAACTACAGGGCGGGGGAGAACCTTTGTGTAAAATTTGTGTCCAGTACTTATTAAAAAAACAGCGATAACAAACTTTCAAAGTGAAAATCTAGGATAGCTGGAGGTCAACCATTTTGCTTTTCTGATCTATCTAAAAGAGGGCACAACTAGGAACCAAGGGGAAGCTACATATTAAATCTGAGAGAGACGATCCAGTCCTTCTTTAGTCCAGGAATGACAAGCTTTCATTGTGAAAATCCATTTTGTTTTCTGATTAGTTTAAAAAATAAAAAGTAGAAACTTCAGATAAAATTTGAGAAAGATCCATCCAGTTAACTTCTCAAGAAATCGTGATGAAAAGAACTGTTTTCGGATGGAACAGAGACAGACATAGGACGATTTGAATAGCCTACCGTTTGATGATGGTGAACAATTAAAAGTGAAAAATTTTGTTAACCAAAGATACTTTATCATTTTATACATCAAGAAGACTGCAGGTAGAATATAAAAGATTATATTTGTTTCTGAAAACATTTCCATTATTTATATCCAATAAATAATGGATTAAATTGTACTAGAAAATAACACACGAAACGCTTCAATTGTTAATGGCTTTAAAGTATAATAGTAAATTGTTGACTGAAAACGTAATGTATAAGCCTGTCAGTGGTGTGCTACCTACCATATGGAAGTATGTCATTAGAGTTACCGCCCTTGTGCTCGTTCCTGTTTACAAACTCGAGTGTCACTTACATTTCACTGCGAAGTTAGGCGATAAATTTAGTGTTCCCATGTTTGTTATTCGGGGTATGGTGGTACGTAGATCAACACAAACTCAGCAAACAGTTTTAAACGATGGAGGAAGCGGACAGAAGCGGTAAGACAATCGCGTAATAAAAAAATTCAGCTTGCAATGAAAAAAAATCGGAGTGTTGGGTACTGTAGTCAGGTAGTAGCTGCTGAAACCACGGGCTTTCTTTTTGTCGACACATTAATTACGTGGGTTTGTGATATTTTCTTTTTATCTTGAGTCCAACCCTTCAACAGAATTAGTACGAATTCGGTTTTCTTTTATCTTGAAATTTACATTGTCTGCTTATAAGTACAGCAAGTTGTGATTGTCAGAATGGAGTTTTCTACGACGTGTCAATATTTTCCAATTCTCGCTCGAAATTACGTAATTTGCTAACATGTCAGATACGGTAGACCTAGGCATGACATGCAGTCGTTTATGCCATAATGTTATCAAATGATGTTTGTCAGAGTTGTATATTGAATCTAGTAAAATGTAAATATTACAATTCATTTCTAACAAAATATTTCATGTGACCTGCAACATGATTTCAGGACAGATACTGTATCAATGAATTACAATTTCGAGTCAATGAAAGCTAAATTCAGGGTTTTAACAACACATCATTGTCATTTCTTTTACCATTTCGCATAAATTTATGTGATTTTTTTCTTTTCAATAATTATCCTTTTTACCTTCAAGGTGTATATTTTATGTTAGAAGGTAATGCACATTAGATCATTATCAGTATTATGTACAGATCTGTTAACTCTATAAACAATTATAAGAGGGGTATTCACTAACTCCCTCAGCATCTCTCTGTAGAGAGTTTAAATACTTATTAGTGCTGGATCAAAAATCATTGATTTTTTTTAGAAGAATTTGTCCAGGATTTGTTCAGTCTGTCTTTGAATGAGTTAATGTCTGGGGTCAATAAAATATTTTCTGGTAAGGAATTCCATTGATAAATGACATGGTTGGTGAAAAAAAAATCCTGTTTCTCTCAACTCTATGAGTATAGCATCGGGGGCCAGATAAAAAACTTGATTGAAAATGTCATGGATGCAAGAACTGTGACTCATCATATATTGGGGAAACAGACAGGAGATTCAGGGTCTGACTCAACAAACCTAGAAAAGATGGGAAATCCCCAAAAAGCAGAAAATTCACTAGATTGAAGCAAAACCACTTACAGTCTCAGATCAATAAATCTGCATTTATAGATCATTCCACACAGCAAAATTATATCATTGCCTAGAAAATTCCAAAATAGTTGATACAGAAAAGTCATTTCAGAGGGTTGGTTAAGAAAGCCATCTTGATACACAGCAGTGGGCCAGTACTTGATAGGGACAAGGGGGCCCACAGACTCTTACACATCAATGACTAAGTGTTAAACAAAGTGTGGCAGAATTGACTACAGTACATTGTTACCATCTGATGTATTTTTTTGGTCTATAATCTGTTTACCATATTGTCACAAAATTATTTTCAATCTTAATGCACATATAGGATTATAGTGCAGCCGAAAAAGGTGGTCAATTCTGTACCATCTCGTACACTACCTATGTCAGTGTTAGTACGCTCTACACTGGTCATTTGTCTGATGAAGGTGACTATGTAGTCATCAAAATGTCACACCCTAATCTTTTACTACTTGTGCTATAAGAATTTCTTTTCTATAGACATTACCAACCCAAAGAAAGTGTTCCAGTATATACCTGTGTTTGTTGTGTTGTGCAGTGGTTACACTGACTTTCCACTTGTACAGGATTTGATTTCCTGAATTGGTTTGTAAAGGTACAAGGTCACCTGTCTGTCCATATGTGTACTCTGGTTTCCTCCCAAAGTAAACTCTCCTTGTGTGCATCCATCCAGCCACCAAGTATAAGAGTAAAAATATATGTTGTTTCGCAATCGTTGTAAAATTAATAAAGTAAATCAACCCAGGCAAATGCAAGCATCTTAATATAGGATTGGCAGAACCTGGTCATTATAAACTTGGGATTATATCAATACCATATATCAGGATATTTTTGTATGGTGCAATTTTCACAGAAATCCCAAAAATGTATTTTTTGTAATTGCCATGCTTATTATTCCAAAATGTCAAATAATGCTTAGCTCATAATTTCAAATGTCACTTAGGATTAATTCTAAGGTCATGAACTTTTGACTGGCAACTGATTGATGATATGGTCATTACTTCCAAACGTAAAAGGATTCATGCTAAATTCATGGATTTTTAGATTTGATGACAATCTCATGATACTAAATCCCTTTGGGGTCATGCTTAATCATGAGCTGTAGAGTCCAAAAACACTGATGGAATATTCATTATAGCAAAATGCCATGCTCATTATCATACCAAAGTACAAAAGTATTAAATCAACGTCAATGTCATGAAGTTTAAGCCCCGAAAAAGATTGATGCCAATGTCATGAACTTTGATTCCTAAAGGATAGCTACCAAGGTCATGATCCCTGGATACAAAAAGAAGCATTGCCACGTTTATGATCCTCATTCAGTTATATATGATGAATTTAGCCTGGAGCCGCCTGACAACAATTTTATATTTTGTTTCAGATGTAGGGAGCAAGCCTAAGGAGAGAGACGTAGACAGCCAAAGACAGGTTCAGTTAAAAGTGCCAACACATATACAGTCATATTCTTGGGACTGTGGATTAGCTTGTTGCTGCATGGTGCTCAGGTCAGTTTTATTTGTTTTAATTGTTCATGTCCTTATATGATATCTTCTCATTTGGATTGACTAACTTCTGGTTGCTATGATATACATGTATACCTGCTGATGAAGGTGTGTTACATGGACATGAAAACTAAGGTAAAGTTATTTTTCAAAAAGCATTGAAAATATCAAAGGATATTGGTTTTTGGGCTATATTTTTTTCAGCTTTTGATGTTTATAGAAATTCTTATAATTTTTAGACACAGCCACATAGTACAGATTACAATTTTTATTACTGTACTAATTATTGGTCTTCATTTTCATAAAGGCTTAACGATCAATAATGTGATTATTATGATTCTGTTTTAGATATTTTAAGAAGGACGATCACAATGTATATACTACTGATTTTGAGGAGCTGAAATGTGGGGAAAGGTCAGTATATAGACTTATATAATACTACTGTGAGTCTGAAAGCTGGGCAAAGGTCAAAATATAGACTGATATAATAGTACTGTCAGTCTGAATAGTTGAGAAAGGTCAGAATGTAGACTGATATAATACAATATAGTACTGTCAGTCTGAAATGTGGGGAAAGGGCAGTATATAGACATACATAGTACTACTGTGAGTCTGAAAGCTGGGGAAAGATCAAAATGTGGACAGATGCAATAGTACTATTAGTCTGAAATGTTGTGAATGGTCAGAATGTAGGCTGATATAATACAATATAGTACTGTCAGTCTGAAATGTGCGGAAAGGTCAGTATATAAACTTACATAGTACTACTGTGAGCCTGAAAGGTGGTAAAAGGTCTGAATGTAGACTGATATAATAGTACCACGAGTCTGAAATGTTGTGAAGGGTCAGTATACTGATATGATAGTACTGTTAGTCTGAAATGTTGTGAAGGGTCAGTATACTGATATGATAGTACTGTTAGTCTGAAATGTTGTGAATGGTCAGTATACTGATATGATAGTACTGTTAGTCTGAAATGTTGTGAATGGTCAGTATACTGATATAATAGTACTGACAGTCTGAAATGTTGTGAATGGTCAGTATACTGATATAATAGTACTGACAGTCTGAAATGTTGTGAAGGGTCAGTATACTGATATGATAGTACTGACAGTCTGAAATGTTGTGAAGGGTCAGTATACTGATATGATAGTACTGACAGTCTGAAATGTTGTGAATGGTCAGTATACTGATATAATAGTACTGACAGTCTGAAATGTTGTGAAGGGTCAGTATACTGATATGATAGTACTGACAGTCCTTACAGTCTGAAATGTTCTGAATGGTCAGTATACTGATATGATAGTACTGACAGTCTGAAATGTTGTGAAGGGTCAGTATACTGATATGATAGTACTGACAGTCTGAAATGTTGTGAAGGGTCAGTATACTGATATAATAGTACTGACAGTCTGAAATGTTGTGAAGGGTCAGTATACTGATATAATAGTACTGACAGTCTGAAATGTTGTGAAGGGTCAGTATACTGATATGATAGTACTGACAGTCCTGACAGTCTGAAATGTTGTGAATGGTCAGTATACTGATATGATAGTACTGACAGTCTGAAATGTTGTGAAGGGTCAGTATACTGATATGATAGTACTGACAGTCTGAAATGTTGTGAATGGTCAGTATACTGATATGATAGTACTGACAGTCTGAAATGTTGTGAAGGGTCAGTATACTGATATGATAGTACTGACAGTCTGAAATGTTGTGAAGGGTCAGTATACTGATATAATAGTACTGACAGTCTGAAATGTTGTGAAGGGTCAGTATACTGATATAATAGTACTGTTAGTCTGAAATGTTGTGAAGGGTCAGTATACTGATATAATAGTACTGTCAGTCTGAAATGTGGGGAAAGGTCAGTATATTTACATTTATACACTAATATTGTCATTCAGATATTGTAATATTCTTGTTCTTGTCACACAGTATCTGGACAATTGATTTGGCGTACCTCTTACAAAAGCATGATATCAGAACCAAGCTGACCACAGTGACCCTTGGAGTAGACCAGGAGTATGCCAAAAAGGTACTTAAACTTTCTCAATATCTTCTGAAGAGCTGAGTTTTTTTCACACATACAAAGACTTTTGCTCCAATGGGCTGCAGTTGGGAAAATGTTTTCTTTTGTGTTTCTGGAACTTTTTTATTGTTGGTAGCTCAAGAATTTATCAATGTATAGATACATAGATTCTTTTTAAGCTAGATTGTAGAGGTCAGAGGTCAAAATTTCAATAGATGTTTAATAGTATATTGGCCAAGTACCAAACAAAACCTTGATGGAGAACTGATTACTTCTGTGCCTTTCAGCCATTTTACAGGGATCACTTCAATCAAGATGAGAACAGAGTCACAAAGATGTTTTCTGAAGCTGCCTCCAAGAACATTGAAGTGGAAAAATGGTGAGTGTTACAAAGATATCCAAATCATTGAACGACAGTCGACACAGGCACCTTATTTGATAACTTGATTTAAAAATAGATAGAAATGTTCATTTAATTGATCTTGGAAAATGAATTCTTGAAAATATTAACACAGTGTTGCCAACTCAAATTATTTTGTTGGATCAGTGTGATATTGGCAAATGATTGCCCTCCTAAAATTCTGAGAAATGCTCAAATCACGTGATATTTCTTTACTTTTGATCAGTATTTGAAAAATTGAAAATCAGTGATGGGATATAATTTGATTATGAAGAGCTATGACCTAATATTAGATGATTAGAACTTGGTGACACTGTTAATATATACAGAGGTGAGTATTGTTTGACTGTCAGAACTTGGTGACACTGTTAATATGTACAGAAGTAAGTCTGTTGATCGACTGTCAGAACTTGGTAACACTGTTAATATGTACAGAGGTGAGTCTGTTGATCGACTGTCAGATCTTGGTAACACTGTTAATATGTACAGAAGTTGATCGACTGTCAGAACCTGGTGACACTGTTAATATGTACAGAATTAAGTCTGTTGATCGACTGTTAGAACTTGGTGACACTGTTAATATATACAGAAGTAAGCCTGTTGATCGACTGTCAGAACTTGGTGACACTGTTAATATGTACAGAAGTAAGTCTGTTGATCGACTGTCAGAACTTGGTAACACTGTTGATATGTACAGAGGTGAGTCTGTTGATCGACTGTCAGAACTTGGTAACACTGTTAATATGTACAGAAGTTGATCGACTGTCAGAACTTGGTGACACTGTTAATATGTACAGAATTAAGTCTGTTGATCGACTGTTAGAACTTGGTGACACTGTTAATATATACAGAAGTAAGCCTGTTGATCGACTGTCAGAACTTGGTGACACTGTTAATATGTACAGAATTAAGTCTGTTGATCGACTGTCAGAACTTGGTGACACTGTTAATATGTACAGAAGTAAGCCTGTTGATCGACTGTCAGAACTTGGTGACACTGTTAATATATACAGAAGTAAGCCTGTTGATCGACTGTCAGAACTTGGTGACACTGTTAATATGTACAGAATTAAGTCTGTTGATTGACTGTCAGAACTTGGTGACACTGTTAATATGTATAGAAGTTGATTGACTGTTAGATTGCTGATACTTATAAAAGTTTAGCGTGACTCCTACAATCACTGATTGATGGACCAAAAGAAAATTGATAAAACATGTTGAGGAGAAAATGATACTGTTATAAATAAAAATTTCTGATGAATACCAAGACTAATATTTACTAATGTATACAGTAAGGCTAAATGTTACTAACATATATCATAAAACTAATGCTTTATCATGTGTGATGTTTGTTTACAGTTCAGTGCCTATGTCCGAAATTGTAAATCACATTGCCAAGGAGAATCTTGTTGTATGTCTTGTGGACTGGACCTATCTCGAGTGTATCTGGTGTGACAAGGTAAACACACATTTCTGATGTGACAAGGTAAACACACATTTCTGATGTGACAAGGTAAACACACATTTCTGATGTGACAGTAGAGAAAACTTTTATATTTCAAAAGTCAGGCAGCATAGCACTTGTTAGTTTTAGTGTAAATTGTACATATTTTATATATCTATACATTTTTTCTGTAAAACCTTTCTGAAACTTCAAGGTTTAATTTTTTTCATAAAGTTGCAGTTACAGTGAAAAAATGATGATTTTACAGTTTGTTTTTATTGTTTCGGAAAATCTCATGTAACATTTGCCAGGTAGTTAAATTACACTTTTCAATTTTAGACACGACATTGTTTTTCCTGCTTCAAACGGTGCTGTGGTACTTACCAAGGTAAGCTTTAGGCATGTTAAAGATTTAAATGAAAGTAGAGCTGTGTCACAAAAGGGAAGAAAATAAAATGTAGTGTGATAAGGTGATAGTGGTCTTCACATCTACATCAGGGAAGTGTACAGTGACCAGGTAATTAGGTCACTGTGACCTTCACATCTACATCAGGGAAGTGTACAGAGACCAGGTAATTAGGTCACTGTGACCTTCACATCTACATCAGGAAATTGAAAAGAGACCAGGTAATTAGGTTATTGTGACCTTCACATATATATCAGGGAAGTGTACAGTGACCAGGTAATTAGGTCACTGTGACCTTCACATCTACATCAGGGAAGTAAACTGTGGCCCAGTGATTAGGTCTCAGTAACTTTGGCTTCCTCATAAGGAAAGTGTGCAGTGGCCCTTAAGTTAGGTCACTGTGACTTTCACTTCCATATAGAAAAAAGTGTGCAATGGCCCATTAATTAGGTCACTGACTTTCACTTCCACAGAGAGAAAGTGCGTAAGGGCCCATTAATTAAGTAATTGTGACTTTCACTTCCATAGAGAGAAAGTGTGCAAGGGCCCATTAATTAGGTCATTATGACCTTTACTGCTACATCAGGATGTTGTCATGAATGTACCAGGTATGTGATGCCCTTTGGTTAAGTGATACTTTTGTTGTCATTGAAATTGATCATGTAAAATATTCACAAAAATTGCTAAGAGGATTATTAAATGTATTATTTTATATTTCTCTAATTTTGTGTTTTTGTGTCAAGAATCCTTGTTGTTTGTTACCCAGATTATTTGATCAGTCATCCTTGGTTTGAAGGCCATGATTTGTCATTAATCAGTTACTTCATTACTATTTCATTCAAATGGACATCCCTAATGGTCAATACATTTGTATATGCTGCATTTTGAAACTTATCTAAATTCATGGTGGCCATCAGACTTTGAGAGTAAAAGAATTTTTTATTTAATTTTTTATGAGTAAGAATCTCCTATATTATTTTTTTCTATCAAGCTCCCTATGAAAATTGCTTGGTTATGCCTTTCACTTTCTTAAGCAGGACAGAACCAAATTATTGACAACTTGTGACCTAGATTTTCAAAAATTTGTTGGCACATTTTGTCAGAAAATGCTTAAGGATTCCTAAATATTTGAGATGTTGATTCCTCTTCATCATGTATTGTCTTTATTTTGGGACTAAATATTTAAGGAATATAAGGCTCTCTTGAGTTTTGAGAGTTGAAGTAGGTTATCAGTAATTGTCATGTACCTTTTGGAGAGCTTTTGAATACAACTGTAAAATTAAGTAATTATGATTTTGTTCATCAAGTGAGTTAAAAGAAGAGACAAAACCCTTGTTTAATAGAATAAATAAAGACTTCTTATGAAATGATGCTGGCTGTCGTTATCTCCCTTTTTGTATTCAATACTGATTCATCTTAAAATCATATCATATTGGCAAATATTGAACAAATGGAAACAATTGTGTGAATTTGTTAATAATAATAGCTTGATATATTGCAGGACATTTTGTGGTTGTGTGCGGTTTTGATAAAAGAAAAAAACGTGTGTTCTATAAAAATCCTTCCTATGATGAGGGTGAGTACAATACTAATTTTGTCGTACATTTAGACTCCATAATCAATAGTGGTACTATGTATTAGGAAACCCTGCTAGTCTGTTATCTTATGGTTTGTGAGATACCTGAGGGTGTAGAATATTGTCAGAGCCAAAAATTCTGTATCATTTGGCAGAATATTTATATCTTTCATGCTTTCACAACAAATCACTCTTTTCTGTCATCTTGTACATGAATTCTGGTTTTAATCACAAAATTCTTGATAAAATTTATTTTTAGTTCATGTTCACAGGAGCTAAAGTCATGTTTATTAGGAACAAAACTGAAGTATGTCATTTAACCATAGTTATACCACAAACTTAAAGAAGCATATAAGTACTGCATGATATACCTAGATAATTAATTTCATATTGTCAGTGATTGATACAAAAAATTACTAGCAGACATAAAAAATTTTGAAGGCTTCAAAATAAAATAATATCAAGTAGTTTGATGTCAGATCTGTTCACTTTAATGACCTTGGCACAAAGTCAGAGGATGAAGTTGTATGTTGACTATGTTCCCGGGTATATTGCTATCAGCTCTGTTTATATGAATGACCTTGACCTGATTAAATGGTCACAGGGGTGATTCTTAAATAAAAAAAGGAAATAGATTTTGTTTTACAATGAGTTGAGATTTGAGATATTAAGCCAGTATAATACTTAGGTGGATGATTATCCTGTTTAATGTTTCAATGTCAAGGGCCAAATGTGTTGATAAAAGAAGTCCATTTGTCCCCTTAGTCTTTTTTTGTAACACAAAAGTGGTTGCTATGTCTGTCTGTATATTACTTTATTACTTAGGCATAATGAAAGTCTTTCAGTTACTAAAATAGGATAGATAAGTACACAAATTATCTCATATTTTATTTTATTCTTTTGTTTTTCAATGTTGAGACTACAGTTAAACAATAAGTAGTTTATGGTGGTCCAATAATCCAGGACAGAACAAGATAAATGACAAACAAATGATTTGCCTATACATATTGATATGAGCTTTCTGATGTCACTACTTTTGATAACAGAATGATGGCATGCGACCTACTTTCTTATTAAATAATGATGTCCCTGTGACCAACTTTGTTATAAAAGAATGGAGTCATTGTGACCTATTTTGTTATGATACAATGATGTCACTTTGACTTACTTGTTGTAAAAGAGTGATGTCACCATGACCTTCTTAACAGAATGATGGTACTATCTTGTAAATCTGCATCCCCGATACTCCAGGGGTTATAATCACTTCTGCTTTCTTCAAGCCTGGAACATGTCATATCAAAATTGAAGACACACAATAGTAATTTGATTGGTTCCAGGGATTGGAACTGACCAATCACTGATACACTTTTAAAGATTACAAAGAGCAACATCCAACTTAAAAGCCAGTTCAACATACTGTTGTGTGACCTCAAGATTTGTTTTATGTACATCAAAGGATCAATTAGTCTTTGTGTCTTGTTCACAAGGTGTCACACACAGAATCTTCCATTCTGTCATGACATGTTCCAGGGGTACAGAGAGCAAAAGTGATCATAACACCAGGAGTATTGAAGATGGTAAATCTGTAGAGGAAACTGTTCTTGTTCTTTACAGATGTTTGTTGTAGCCGAATGGAGAGATTTGACAAAGCAAGGAAAAGCAATGGAACTGATGAAGATACTCTCTTCATATTCAGTTCCTAAAACACACCACATCCCTGCAGGGTTATGGTACCATACTGCCCAATCCTGGATGCATCATTTACACAGCAGGATTTTGATGAAAGTATTCTTTATCTTACTTTCTCGACACATCTTTCATGTTATAGAATTAGGATGAATGAAAACATTTCTCATGTTTTGCTTTCCAAACACTCTACTGATGAGTTGTGATGAAATAATTTTTTTACTGTCATTTCCGAGACACATCATTGCAGAGATGTAGTGAAAAATCATCTTCAGCTCCTGAAAAGACTTATCTCTACAAGACTGTGACATGTTCTCTGTGTTCAAGAAACATCGGTGCTAGGTTATTACTGGAAACATTCTGTAGAAGCCTACACATCTCCACAGGGTTGTGTTGATGTCACCGTCTCATCTTCATTTTGGACAAGAGAAACCACTTCACTGAGGGTTGTGCTGAAGTTAACGTTAAAACACCTTAATATTCCAGTTGTATGGTTGTGATATATACCTTCAGATCCTGTACAACCTCACCTCCTGTCAACAGACAGTGAAAATGATATACCTAAATCATAGGCTGTCTGTTAGATATTTTATTGCTGTAAACAAAAAATCTGGCATATCCTTAGGCCAATATTTGTTGTTTGAAGAAGAATTAAGAGCTACCTTTAAGTTAACCCAAGCTGGATAGTTTTATGTTGCATCAGAGACATCACAGATATACAAAAAATTATGCTGCAGTTTGTACAGAAATGCCATATTTTTTATTCCTATGGTGTAAAGAAGACTTATTTCGAGAGTGGAACTGCATCATTTCGACGACAATTTTATCCAAATTGAATTTAATGATAGAAAGGTAAAGGAAATTGCTGTTGGTCTTTACAGATGTGTGTTGTAGCCAAATAGAGAGATTTGACAAAGCAAGGAAAAGCAATTTAGAGCTGATGAAGATACTCTCTTCATATTTAGTTCCTAAAACATGGTGACTGCCTCACTGAACAACATATGAAGGCCCATCACTGCAGGGTTGTAGTAACATGTAGCCCTGTCCTGGATGTATCATTTACACAGCAGAATTTCAAAGAAAATTATATCTAGATTGAATTTTATGTTACAAGTAACAGCCTATAGACATTATATACAAAGGTCTTTGTTTTGGTTGAAGGTTGAAGCAAGGGTTACAAAGATGGCACCTGAAGCCGTACTCACTTGACCCCAACAGCTGTCTAAATTTTGATACCCATCTGTAACAGTAAGGACTGACACTCGTGGGGGAAATGTTTGATGCCAAATACAGATTTATTGGGTTAAGCTAAATCAGACACTTGATATCTTTTGAGTGAATACATGCAGACACTCCCCCTCTCCATACCTTCAACCTCATCCAAACCCCACTGCCAATGGACAAGAGACACTGCTGCTCAGTGTGGTGAGGTTGTACAGATCTGTATGTGGAGGAATTACACCAGATACTATGGGATCAAGTCATAACATCACTATTACAAATCATAACTACTACAAACAATCACTATTACTAATCACTTTTACAATCGTGCTGGGATAATCTTCCTGATTTCATGTATCATCAGTATTTCTAAGGCATTAAGAACAATCTGAATTGTTGGTAAAATTATTTCCATCATAATTTCAAAAAAAAATTATTTGTGTCATGATGCTCTTTTATCAAAATTTTGATTAAATTCACTTTTTAATCAGATTTTAATATACCTGAAAAGGTATTTGTAACCTATCTTGATGCAGCAGACGCTTGTTTAAAATGTCGCTGAGTTTATAATTTTACATGTGATAAAAATTAGGTAGATTTTTTTATACCCGTTATACACGGGTCTTTAATATTGACCCACTGTCCAGCCACTGTATCAGGGAACAGATTATGTTGACTTTGTTCAGTTGTTCTCAATTGATTGAAATTTCCTTTTAAATATTTGTAAATGTAGGTATCAGGCTGATAAACGCTCTGCTATATATACTAACTTTGTTAAGTTACAAACTGTTTGATAATTTGCAAGAGTAGAATACATGTTAAACATCACTAGTGTGGGCAGATTGGTTGGTTAAAATTTTGTTTGTTGGCTGGCTTCATCATACCATGAATAGCCAGCGTCATTTTTAGATGGTCTCTTTGTAGAACCTGGTGACTGCCTCACTGAACAACATATAAGGGTAAAGTGTCTTGCCCAAGGACATAACTATGACTGGTCTTTTTCAGCTTACTTAGAAACGAAAACTTTGACATGCAGGGAGTGTGAACAACATACCTCAGAACTCCACGTTGAGCTTAGCTATTGTGGCCACAGTATTTTAGGAGGAATAAAGAAAGTTATTTACTTGGGTTCCAGTAAGGAGGAAGTCAGACCTTGGAGAACACCTACATGGACAAGGTGAAACAGGTTAATACTGTACCTTCTTACATCTAAAACAATCCAGTCCCAACGCTTTTGATGAAAGATAAGAGCACGATTCACTATGCCACGGATCACAAATGCTTTCAACCAATCATGATTGATGTTTTATTCTCAAATATTTAAAATTATATATAATGCTCTTTCAATTCATGTTTTTTTTAAATTATGATCCAGCCATTTTTTTTTTTTTTTTTGGAAACCAAAATGTCCAGGTTATGAAGGTTTCTAATTGTGTACTAATTGTTTGTTGTTGTGTAATGAGATTTGTTGTGTTATGGGACTTTTTTATTGTTTGTTAAATTTGTTAGTCATTGATATTTCTTGATGTTTAAGTCTTAAGTTTTCACTTTTACATTGATTCAGTAGTAGCACAACAAAAAATATGTATACATGTATGTAAAAATTGATTATCAATCTAGCAATTAAAAAATGTCTGATGTTATTGATAACTTGATCATTAAAAGAATGGGTTATATCAAATAATAGTTTGCTGTTGTAAACCAGATTTTGATCTGTTACTAAGGGCTATAAAAATAGGCAGAAGACTGGCCACTTGGAAGCAGTCGTTGTCTTATAATTGTAACAACCCCCCTCCCTCTAAAACCTTTGCTTGTTGTTTTTCTGGGCACATATATTCACCTTCCTGTCTTCCTGTCATACATCTGGTCACAAACATATTTATCTAAGATTCCTTAATAGCCCCAATGTAATTTGATATATCTTTACATTTTGATATAAAGTCAGCCTATATCTTTGCCATACCTATACCAGGCACTTATACCTATCCCAGACACTAGTCTTAATTAATTTTTACAGATTTTAATCACTATCTATTTCAGTCAACCAGAAAAAAAAAACCAATTGTGACAGGATGGTGTCACAGAATTGGTGTAAATAAAACCTTTTTTTGGTGGTTAAAATATGAATTGATGAGAAACCAACATGAAATATTTGTATTGATGAGAAACCAACATGAAATATTTGTATTGATGAGAAACCAATATGAAATATTTGTATTGATCAGAAACCATTATGAAATATTTGTATTGATGAGAAACCAATATGAAATATTTGTATTGATCAGAAACCATTATGAAAGTACCTGATTTTTATTGATAAACTGCTACTAGCTTTATGCTGCTTGCCTTGCTGTTATATGGTTATGGGCTAGTTTGATATATTTTTGATGAATTATTGATGTGTTATCTTGTTTTTGGTACTACAGTATAAAGTGGGTAATGTTACGGGATTATAATTTTACTAGATGTGATTGTGCTTTGTTACAGATACTTCTGAAGTGAAATTTTCATTTCTTTTTTCTTAAACTTTTGTTAAAAGAAACAGCTGTCCAGTTATTGTATTACCTGGTACAGTAAGTCCTAAATCTCAGAAAATACAAGTTGTTCACTACAGAGGGTGTTGAAATGAAATTCTGTTTTTATAATTTTAGAAAAAAAAATTTCTGATACTATCCAATTCTAGACTATGTATGTTGTTAAAGGAAACATTTGTGGTTTAACAGTTGTTTTTTTTTTTCAAAAATATTTTGTATATGTGTGTTTTTTAAGAGATTATTTTTTTAAGTCTGATATATTTATATTCATGTGAAAATAGTTTTAGTAATAAATTTATTTCAATGAAATAATTTTACAAACCAGACATATTAATTCGATTCCAATGTCTTCTTGGGATGTTTTTGTTACAAGCACTATCAGTGCAACAAAGTTTAATTTTGACCACCTTATTATTTTGGAATCCCCCACACTATTCTTCAACCTATATGCATTTAAGGCATAAAGCTTAATTCATTCTTGTTAATTCAGGAGTGCTCTATTATGACCCAATCATAATGAGATACATTGTAAGATATTATTGTATATATATAAGTATAAACAAATGAAATTTTAATTATTCCGTCATTGTATTGACATTTTTTACGTATTTTGGTCTGGAGTCAACAAACATCAGGGCCCGTATTCATGAAACCATTCTCATGCTCAATCATAGATTTTGTGCTCAAGCAAACCTTTTTATAATTTACCTAAATAATATAAAATAATACAAATTTTAAATTTAAACCTTGAATATAGCTTTGACTTGAAGTCCTTTCAAAATTGTTTATAAAACTTCGGCAAAATCAGCCTTATATATTGATTTTCAACTTAAACAAGACATAAGGCCTGAGCACAAAATTCATGCTTGAGCATGACAACGGTTTCATGAATACGGGCCCTGAGTAGTGGAGCATAGATGTTATCATTGCTTCTATAGTATTATAAATAAATCAGTGAGTTAGAAACAATAGCCTACACATCAGGTTTACTTCTACACAATATTTGAAATGGAGACTATGGAAAGGGTTGAGTAATATTGTACCAAATTAGTCTCATAGTCTGGCCTATTTTGTACTTTCTTAAATTTTACATTGCAGATTTTTTTTTTTTTTTTTTTAAATTTTAAAACAGTTGTCATGTATTGTATTTATTCTGCAATAAGCCCGCGGCAGAACACATAATCTGTGACTCAGTCTGGCATTGAATTAGGCAGTCGTGTGGACAGAAACCATGTCACCAAACCCAACCAACGTGTCACTGA